GCCCCCCCCCCCCCCCCCCCCCCATCCTGCCTAGTGGTCTGGGTGTTTATTAATAACTGAAGTTGGAGCTGCTTCTGAATGAAAAGTCACAGTGGACAGTAGGACCCACCGGGGACTGAGTCACACACACATTTTCTGTCTGTTTCTGGATGCACTAGAAGGGGGTTAGAAAGTAAGGAAGAGAAGGAGGAGGGGTTTTAATGTTTACACAGAGGTCTGGCCACCGCGGCAACTGTTGCCAAGCGCCGTTCTCCCCAACAACAAGCCAGTAATTGGCACTTTTAGCAGCTAACCTTGTGGAGGTGGTGGTGCAAGTTGTACAAAAAGCTTTTTGATACATCTTCGTCTCCATCTTCTCCTCGAACCACCATATAGAGCCCCTGTTTCTCTCTCTTTTTTTTTGTAATTTATTTTTACAAAACACAACCCATAATCCTGGCTCGGATCGCCTCTCTCTGAAACGATTGGAACATCCTTAGAAGGAATCTATGAAAGTGTGTCCGGACACACGGCCCATCTCAACCAGACATGAATTGATCATCAAAATATCACATCATCATTTTGTAATGGAGGATGCCGTGAGGGGGATGACGGGCGCATCATCAGGGTGGAAAGAAGTCTGGATCCGTTTTTTTTTTTCTTTTACAACTCTTCTTCACATTTGTTCTTCGCTTATTTCTTAACGGATTCTCTGAAGGATTTATTTAGCTGTTAGAGATGAAAACATAAAGCAGTTTTTCCAAATATTATTCCAACTGCAGGTGTGTTTCCTGGCACGTCTTTAAAAATAGCTAAAGAGAGGTCAAGTTTAAATGGGGCTTTGATGCTTTATAGAAATAAGAGTCAGAATCAGAAAAAATGTAGTTTAAGGCATCAACTGAAAGCGATGAGTGGTTTAGGTGTGTCATGTGTGTGTGATTCTACTCTAACTGGGTTTAGATAACCTCGTTTAACCGTCTGAACTGATTTATCTGTTTCTGTGTTTCACTTCACCTATCAGGTCCATCCTTTCTGTCCCGCCAGCTCAATACCTGCAGTGTTCAGGGTTTTAGACAAACTCCACCAGTGCTCACATAATTACTCATTCAACTCCGACCCCTGCTCTGTTTGGGAAGGAGGGTGAATGGAGGAGGAAGCCGGGGGGGAGGCAGAAGTCTCCCCACTGCTGCCAAAGCTCAATTCAATGTGGAGCCTGTTTTTTGGTGTTAGAAGCAGCAGCTATGGGTCCCAACCCTTTCCTGTGGGCCCTCCTCCTCCTCCTTGTCTTCGTCCTCCTCCTGAGCTGGGCTGGGCCGGGCCTGGCGCTGGCACAGAGGTCCCTTTGTTGTGTACCCGAAAGCCCGAGCCCTCGCTTTTTCTCACTCCCTTTACCTCCCCTCTCTTTCCACACGCTCCACGTCCACCACCTCCTATTCCCCCTTAAAGGTCTCCAGTCTTCACAAATATGAGATAATAGGAAAAACAGAGCTGGCTGCTTGTGGTGACTCAGGGCAAAACGTCTGAGTGAAAAATAGAAAGTGAGAGAGGACGAGGGATGGTATTGTTTGTGAGGTAGATCGGAGCGAGCTGGACCCAATCTCCTCCCATCTCTCCTTAACCTCTCCAGCAGCTTCTGAACCAAAAGCTCGCTGTGGATACAAAACCCAGACGGAGGTTCACTCTCTCTCTCTCTCACACACACACACACACACACGTGCGTGCATGCAGTTTGTCTCTCCCTCTCGCGGCAGGTGGACAGGGTTGTTTTGGCTCGGCTGCAGGGCAGCAGCTTGACTCCTTTTGAGCCAATGAGCCAAAATAATAGCCAACGATTCCAGGGTTATTGTCAGCGTTTTTCCCCCCTCTGCTTTTCCCAGAATCCTCCCCAATCGTGTGGGATCTGTTTCAGAAACGTCACCCTCCGATGACTTTGTGCAATCGCACATGAGAAGAGGAAAAGCAGCAGGAGTCCCAGTTAGACATCTCGTACAGTCACAACAAGGAGCGGGAGGTTTTTCCACAACTGCTTGAGCCTCGACGATCACTCGGAGGCCAGATGAAGCCAAACATGAAATCGAGGGAATGTGGAGAAGAAATTATTCACAAACCATCTAGACATCTTTGGTTTTGATATTTTATTCAGAGTCAACATCATGCAGCTTTAATATGGAGCTGGACCTGGATCATAAAGATTACATATATATATGAGATGTAATTTTTTAAAAACACATTTGCAGCAAATTGGGATAAAGAAGGTGTGAAAGTGTGTTTTGATGATTTATTTCATTTCCCAGGACACCCCACCCTCTGAATATGTGTCTCCCACCCTGAGTGGGCACGCTCACCTCACACAGCAGACACACTACTGTCGTACATCCACTCCATGCGTCAGAACAGGGAGTAGATTCTGGGACTTCTATGGAAAGTCCGGTGATTCCCTCATTTATAACTTTTTTTGTTTCTTATCTGAGGTCTAAATCTGTAGCAGAAGATGCTCAATGATCAACCTTTCAACATGTGAATCAGGTGCTTTTCCATGTGCTGAGCTAGTCAATGTCAGAATGAAGAAGGAATGATTTGAAACGGCCAAGTTGTTGTTTTAAAAGAGACATGAATTCGATTTTGAAACATATTTAGAAGACATTTAAATGTGTCCATGTCTGCTGTGGCTTGCACTAGTGGAGGTTAATTCATCATCTACCTTCAAGTTACCAGGAGCAGCCTCTTTCCTCTCCTGTCTCCTCTCCATCTCAGACCCTTTCTTCCCATTTCTGCCATCCACCACACAATGAAAGAGCCTCTTGGCTTTTATTAATAGTTAAAGTGGCCCCGGCCTGTCACTGGGGACAATGGCTGCAGCCCTGTTAATAAATAAAAATAATAACTAAAGATGGAGGCAGAGAGAGAGTGCAGTGGAGGGAGAACGGGCGACACTGCCATTTGTTGTTCCCTCTCGCTTGTCAAAGCTCTTTGGCTTAAAAGCCTCTGTCATTGTTGAGGGAAAGAGGTGCTGTGTGTGTGTGTGTGTGTGTGTGTGTGTGTGTGTGTGTGTGTGTGTGTGTGTGTGTGTGTGTGTGTGTGTGTGTGTGTGTGTGTGTGCGTGCGTGTGCGTGTGCGTGTGCGTGTGTGTGTGTGTGTGTGAATTGTGAGCGAGAGGGAGTGCCAGGAGCTAATAGCACCTGTTGGGGTGATGGTAAAACAGCTGTCACAGGAGCGCTCTCCTTCGTTCGCTTTTTCCACATTCTGTCCCGAACATTCCCATCTATCCCAGCTGCGCCCATCCTCTTCCTCCTCTTCATCACTTAACTCCCAGAGAGGGCGGTGGTGGCTTTTCATGCGCCAGGAACTTGGTGCTGAAACTCAGATTCTGCATCGCAGACCGGTGAGAGGAAATAGCCTATCTTGAACTTTTGCATTGATCTTTAAGTGTGTGTGTGTGTGTGTGTGTGTGTGTGTGTGTGTGTGTGTGTGTGTGTGTGTGTGTGTGTGTGTGTGTGTGTGTGTGTGTGTGTCCATTGTGATCAGTGGGGCGTGATGCTCTTGTCTGAAAGGCAGAGGGAAGGAGCAGATTCAAACATCAGGAGATGCTGGAGGCACACACGCACACACATGCCCCCCCCCCCCACACACACACACACATACAGACACACACACACATCAGCTACAGTTTATTAAGTGTGTATTTCTTCTCTCCCACATGCTTATTCATGTGTTCTGAAGGTCATTTTAAATCAAGATTTAAAAAAAAGTTTTAATTATTTTTGCATCCTTGTCACTGTGCTCCACTGCATACAGAGAAAATTAAATTAAAAGTGTGTGTGAGTGATTTGTAGAGTGATATGTGTGTGATTTACTGGAAAAGTGCAGGTGCCAGATTTAGTATTTATTTATTTTAATAATTTGTGATTAAAGAAAAATTTTCAATGCATGCATCTGTTTGTAGATGTCCCTGTGCATCATGGCGTGCTGTGTGGGGCTGATGGAGTTCATTCAGCCACTGAAGTTGTAAACATTTCTATTGTTTGCGTCATTGTCAAACAGGGTGACTGCTGAGAGCGCACGGCAGCATAGTTGTATAGGAAGTCCAGCACTTTGTAGCATAAAAATCCCATGAAGGTAGGTAAATAAAAGAAAACCAGCAAAATGTTCAAGATATTTATTGGCTACTCTTAGTTAACTATTAATAATTAATAATCAGAATGCTGATGGTAGCAGAGAATTGGAAAAACTTCAATAAAAAGTATTTTACTAATTCATTTGTAGTTTGAGAACCGACAGTTTTAACAAGGAATATAAGGTTTAATTTTGCTGTTGGAGATTTAAAAAACAACTTTCGATTCATTAATAAACAATAAAACATCTGAGTAAAGATCTTTAAAACATAAGAATGAGTTTTAATTTTGTTGCCTGTTTAATTCCCGCTACTGTGTGTGTTTGTGTGTGTGTGTGTGTGTGTGTGTGTGTGTGTGTGTGTGTGTGTGCGTGCGTGCGTGCGTGCGTGCGTGCGTGCGTTCGTTCGTGCGTGCATGTGCGTGTGTGTGTGTGTGTGTGTTTGTGTGTGTGTGTAACTATGTGAAGTGTGTGTTGAAAACAAAGCACTAGCTGATAATGTGTCCATTGTGGCGGTGCATTAAGGCCCTCTTTGTCTCAGGGCCCACAGGGCTAATGATTCTCTAGCAGCAGGTGAGAGGGGAAAAAAGCCTCTGTCTCCCTCCGTCCTCCACTTGTCTCTCTCCCTCTCTCTCTGTCACTCTTTCCCTTTTGCTCACTTGTTTTTGTTTTTCGGATTTGCTCTCTTTTCGATTATCAGCTTCTCTCCTTCCGCTGTGCTCTCCTCGTCTCTCCTGCTGATGCGGCCATTAGGCTGAGCCGCCGCTGCCTTTATTACAGCAAATGGACTTTAAATGAGCTTTATTGTCATGTTGGCCAGCCATCTGAATCCCTCTCTCTCTCTCTCGCTCTCTCTCTTTCTCTCGCTCTCTCCCTGTTCTCTGTACCCCCACCCCTCCTCCTCCCTCCAGAGGCCCCCAGCATTGAGAGACTCTTGTCAAAGGACTGGAAGGATAAACTTTTGGCCATGGGCTCAGGGCACATCGGAGAAATTAAAGGTACTAAACAACTTTAAAACACTCATAGTTACTTAAAATTATGAAAGTTATATTTCTACCTCGCATTGTGTTGCTTTAAATCCAAAATAAAGGTCTGATTTGTTTGAAGATCATAAATAAAAATGGACGAAGCATGTTAACCTGGCCTTGTTGCTTCTTTGGGCACAAGAGTCTGAGCTTTCAGGATGTAAAGTGGTGATGTAAAGGATCAAAAGATGAATTACAGTTAAACATATTTAGAGAAGTTTAACAGCAGTGAGGTAATAACTATCTGATTCAACAGGAGTAAACATTGAATTTAGTTCTGTAAGTGTTGAACTCTAGCACAGTACCGTTAATTTATGCAGAGGGAGTGGGGCCTAGCCAGGTGTTGTACTTTGGCTTCTGAAGCCTCAGCTTGCATATTCCAGCCTTTTGTTAAACAAATATGGTCAAAGGTTAAATATGGAACTACTTAATAAAAACTATATTTAAAAAAATAATTATACCTGCACGGGGCATTTAGAGGTGGGTGCAGAATGAAGGTACAGTATTTCCTTTAAAAGTTATGTTTTCATTAAAAAAAACAACTAAATATTTATTTTTATGCGACACTGGAATCATGTTTACATCTAGCAGCCAGTAGAGGGCACCGTTGCGAGATGCCAAACAGTCCGCTCAGCACAGTAAAGCTGGCACTGTGGTAAATGGCGAACTCGGCAAGTCAAGCAGCTGTATCTAAGCCCAGAAGATGTCGTTATCTTTCTCAGAAGAGGAGCGACCATAAAACATCTTAAAGCAGAGTGAGTTTAGTGAAGCCTACAACAGATGGACCCAAATAAAAAATGTCACATATCGTCAGTGAACCTGGTACCCTGATGGCTGGAAACCTGGTTCTGTCATTGCAACTTCACCCTCCACACACTAGATGTTGCTTTGGTGTTCGTGTTCCATATTCCACCTTTTATTGTGTTCTGCACACTCGGGAAGCTGTGCTGAAAATCCCAAACATTGTGTTTTCAAGCTTCAAATATTTAAGTAAAGCTAAATGATTAGGAAAAATGAACATTGGACTGTACAAATGCAACATATTAAACGCCTGCAAAAATGATCCAAAGTATTTTAGTCTGTTTAGTTTCCCATTTGTTTACACATATGGGGCTGGACTTAAATCCTCTGCTGGAACCAGCCACTAGGGGGCTTTGAAGATACATTTCCTGCATTACTTGCATCACATTTCTTGGTAATATACAGGTCAGTGGTTCAGACTTCATTCATACACCAATGTTATACACATTCTGTTGCTATGTGGGTTTTCTCTGTTTCTTTTAATGCTACACATTCATCTAAGTCATTTAGTTGTTTTTAATTACCGAGTGGTAAAAGTAGAAATGCAAGGAATTAACCTTCTTGTTGTGAATCTATTTTTAAAAATAACCCGAGGGATAAAAGGAAGTTCCACTGAATAAATACCTCTAAAATCAAAAGTTAAATAAACTAAGCTGTGTACTTTCTCTTGTTTTTGAGCAACAAGTAAAAATAATTTCTCCACAAGTACTTTAGCTCTCTGTTAATCTGTCATTTAAAGCTGCAATAGAAAATCTGCAAAACAAGCTAGCTTTTAAAAAACAAGCATAGTCACAGATCTCCCATTGGCATTTATACCTAGGCCACGCCCCTCTGATATGGAAACCCACTTTGCCATGGTAAACGTGAGAGCGCTGAACACCAGTTGCTGTTTTTAGACCCAAATGTCTTTTATTTTCTGCATCTTCCTTGTTTTTCTTTTTGGGACTCCAGTAGTTTGTCCTAAATTTGAAGTGGTAGCAGCCAGCTTCTTCTCCTTCTCCTCCTTCTGTTCCTCCTCCTTCTTCTTCTTGGATATAATTAATTGGAGAACCTCTCATGTCAGTGGTGTTCTGTTGCAAAATGTGTGTGAGTGTAATGAGTGGAGGACCCAGGTAAATGAGGAAGTGTGGTGGTTTGGTGAGATACACAACTAGATGGTCCAATCGTTGGTTTCGGACCTAGCCGTGTTATTGGCTGATGTTTTTTTAGACAACCACCCAGATTTTTTTTTTATCTCCACAATATTTGTAGCTTTAATCCACATCAGGCCTGAACACTTGAGCGGGAAGCAACAGAGCAGAACAGGTGTTATGACTCGTCAGAGCAGAAGTCAACCAGAGAAAAAGAAAAAGCAAAGAGGAAAATATGAGAGAGACGCTGAGAGGTGTAGAGGAGACCAGCTATTATTCACTGTAACTCCAGGGCAAAGCCGTCGTTCTCTTTCTGTAATTGAGCTTCATTAGGAAGCAAAGCAATATGTAATCAAAGAGCCTTGGAGAGCGGCGTGGCCATCGAGAGGGGAGCTCCATTGATCAAACCCCCTTTTCCCAGTTCCCTGCCGCGCTGACATTTCTATGTAGGGGCGTCCCGCTTAGAGCCCCGCACACCAACAGCTGGGGAGCCCAATGTGTGTGCAGCCCAGCCACACATATCCCAGTTTGTGCCTGTTTAACTTGTGTGTGTGTGCGTCTTTGTACTTACATCACACCAGGTCTGGAAACGTGCAGAAGGCTTGCTTTAACAGTGCGTAGGTATTTGAACATGTTGTTCTCACACGGTCAGTGCATCTCCTGACTTTTTTTTATCCTCCATTGAATTCCATTGAAGAGCTTTTTGCAGGGAACAAAATGCTGCTTGGCCACCACCTCCTGCTCTTTTGGCCTTGTTGAGAAGAAGCGATGCTAAAAGGCCCCATGCGATTCCCATTGCGGAGCACGTACACTCACTGCTATGAAACTCATGTGTGGTGTCATTAACATCATATGCGCTCCAGTAGGACATGAGGTCTGACGGAAGACATTTGTTTTAATTTTAAATACACTTGACCACCCTTCACACACACTTACATGCATCAAGAAGCTGTTTAAGGGCATACTGATATAAATGCTTTGTCTAATATGTTTACATTAGGGAAATGTTTAAAATGATCTTTTTTAAAGCTTAATTATTTTTAATTGATAAAATTCCAGAGAAATCCTTGAAGCACTTCATATCGCCCACTGCTTTTTACGTTGGAGTTTTAATCTAAGGCCATCTTGTGTTGTGAAATGATGGCATTTAAGAAACAAAGAGTACCAACTGGGGATGATGTTCAGTCACTACTAACGTTTTTGTTTATCCTCAAAAGATATTTGCAGTCATGGCCATCTTTGAATGACTGACCTCAACGACCTCAGACAATGTGTACTGTTCAGAGTATGTGATGAGAATGACATTTAGCTTCTATGCCTCCAAATGTTGGTTAAATATCTGTTAAATGGACTGAGTTGAACTCATGGCAAATCAGTTGTGCTGACTTTTTTGTAGATGATTATCCAATTAGGAGTTCCTGAAAGTTTCAATAGGAATAGATCACACACATGTATCTGGTGCTTGTAGGAAATGACTCTCAGCTCAATATTTAGCTCAAGAGCTGCAAACGTCTGATTTATGGCCATTGTGTGGACCAGGGTTTGCATTTTTCCTGTCAACAGCTAGAAAAAACCAAAATCATAAACTCTTTTTGTAATTTTCTACTTAAATATCTGGTATCTTCTCACGTACACGGAACGAAAATATAAACGCAACACTTTTGTTTTTGCTCCCATTTTTCATGAGCTGAACTCAAACACGGGCCAGAGCGTTGTTTTCCTACTGCCGCGGTAAAATAGAGATTTCACTGAATTGTGGCTTTTACCCTCTTGCTATTTAACCTTCCCCTCACCCCATCCTAACCTTGATGTGGGTGAAGGGAAGGTTAAATACAAACAATTTAGAAGTTAAATGTTGGCTAAATGTGCGTTTTACCATGGGCATTGGAAACCAACGCTCTGGCTCAGCGCGTTGCCTCCCGACGTGCTGGGGCACCCAACGTGGCTCCCAATGCTTGGTCAACCATCGTCATTTTTCAACGCTTCAGGTGTGAGAATGTGTTGGAGAATGTGTCTACATACACATACACTGACTCTCATATTTTGTTCTGAAATCTGTCTACATTGTATACAATGTCTGAAATCCTTTACCAACATAATCCATTCCACCTCACAGGTGTGGCATATCGAGGGGCTGATTAGACAGCATGAATAATGTACAGGTGTGCCTTAGACTGCCCACAATAAAAGGCCACCCTGAAATGTGCACAGTTTTGCTTCATGGGAGTGGTGGGGCAGAAAACCAGTCAGTATCTGGTGTTGCCACCATTTGCCTCACGCATGATAACACATCTCCGTCGCATAGAGTAGATCAGGTTGTTGATAGTGGGCTGTGGAATGTTGGTCCACTCCTCTTCAATATCTGTGCGAAGTTGCTGAATATTGGCAGGAAGTGGAACACGCTGTCGTATACGCCAATCCAGAGGATCCCAAACGTGCTCAATAGGTGACGTGTCTGGTGAGTATGCTGGCCATGCAAGAACTGGGATGTTTTCAGCTTCCAGGAGTTGTGTACAGATCCTTGCAATATGGGGCCGTGCGTTATCATGCTGCAACATGAGGTGATGGTCGTGGATGAATGGCACAACAATGGGCCTCAGGATCTCGTCACTGTACTTCTGTGCATACAAAATGCCATCAATAAAATGCACCTGTGTTCGTTGTTTATAACTTATGCCTGCCCAAACAAGTACCCCACCTGTCAACGTTGACATCAGCAAACCACTCACCCACACAACGCCACACATGCAATCTGCCATCTGCCCTAAACAGTGAAAACCGGGACTCATCTGTGAACAGAATGCCTCTCCGACGTGCCAAACGCCATCGAATGTGAGTGTTTGCCCACTCAAGTCGGTTACGACGATGGACTGCAGTCAGGTCGAGTCCCCGATGAGGACGACGAGCATGCAGATGAGCTTCCCTGAGATGGTTTCTGACAGTTTGTGCAGAAATTATCTGGCTATGCCAACCGATTGTTGCTGCAGCTGTCCGGGTGGCTGGTCTCTGGTGATCCTGGAGGTGAACATGCTGGATGTCAAGGTCCTGGGCTGGTGGGGTCACACGTGGTCTGCGGTTGTGAGGCCGGTTGGATGTACTGCCTAATTCTCTGAAACGCCTTTGGAGATGGCTTATGGTAGAGAAATAAACATTAATTTCACAGGCAACAGCTCTGGTAGACATTCCTGCAGTCAACATGCCAAATGCACGCTCTGTCAAAGGTTGTGACATCTGTGGCATGGGGCTGTTTGATCAAACTGCACATTTCAGGGTGGCCTTTTATTGTGGGCAGTCTAAGGCACACCTGTACATTATGCATACTGTCTAATCAACCCTTTGATATGCCACACCTGTGAGGTGGGATGGATTATCTTGGTAAAGGAAAAGTGCTCACTAAAACACAGGTAGACAGATTTCAGAACATTTGAGAGTCATGGGTGTTTGTGCATACAGAAAAAGTTTCTTGAGTTGTTTGAGTTCAGCTTTTGCCTTTCCCTTTACATATTAGCATGATAAGTTGCTACCAGCAAGTCTGAAAAACCATGTTGTTACAGTTTTTTGGACACTCTTTAAGCTAAAGTATCTCAACAACACATTGTGGTATTAAGACACAAATATTAACAGACAGATGGATTATTCTCTAATTTCTACTCAAAGCTAGAGGATGAACAGAAAAAATTTCCATATATATAAAAGCCAAACTAGGAGGTATGCCGAGAAAGTAATGACAAACAGGCTAGAGGCTGACAACTATAGAAACGTGATTGCTTTAAACCATAACTCAGATAACTAGGGTAAAGGCGTCACCTTGATAGTTCCCTTAATTATTTTATTTTATTGCAATAAAAGAGAATGGTCTTGATTCTATTGGAACCAAGACTGTTAGCTTTAGATTACACCAGAAGACTGAACTCCCAGAGTTTATGGAAGATTTTACAACACGATTGTGCACATTGTTAACTGGCCAGCTAACCGTTCTATTACTCAGCGTTTTATCTGCTGTGTGGTGTTTTTGTAACCTGACCCAGTTGCTCATGGCTTGTGATGACATTTTCACTGATGGATCATTTACAAACTGTCATTGAGCAACTTCTAACAAGACAGCAGCTAATTCGGGACACAAAACAAGAACGTGTTTATATTATTAGACCTTTATAATAGAACGCAAAACAAATCTAATTATTACATTTTGGTTAAACCATAGAAACTGTTTTAGCTACTTAGCTTTACATGAAAGAATTACTTTAATCAACCTTCAAAGATGGTTTAAGCATAGAGAATGGATCAGGTCATTGTTTTGCAAGTCACAACTACGTCTCAAGTCTGACCATTCAGATCAAGACGAGCAACTTGGGTCCAAATACCAAAGTAACTGGACCAAATGTGCAACATGGATTCAGATTAATCAATGCTGAGAAGTGAAAATGTTCTTAAAGGCTGCACATATTTAACAGTGCAGCTGTCAAGTATGTTAAACAATTTTATAAACAACACCATCACTACCTACTTTTTAATTACTACTTAATGTTTGAAACTTATTTTTATGTCCAAATAAACAAAAACAGGTTTGTTTCCACGCTTACGTGTCTTTCTACTCTTCACTTAGTCCTTCCTTTACAGCCTTCTACCTCCCGTCTGTTATGCTTCTCCTGCTCCTCCTCACTCCCCTTCCCTCCCTTTTTACCCATAGGAGCTATCAGCACAGCCAGGGTCATTAATTAGCTGAGTGAGCACGGTGACAAGCATTACATTGTTAGAAATTGGTTAATTACCCTTGTTCTGTGCACAGAGACAGAAAAGGGAGAAAGTTTGTCTTGGTTCTGATAATCACAGGATGCAGTAATCTGCCTAAAGGAGGAATGTGTGTGAACCAGCGTAGGAAACCAGTTATCGATCCACCTGCCTGCCTCGCAGCAGCTGAGGAAACAAGCCCACTCGGCTGATTTATGAGGAGAACTCCTTAAAGTCAGAGTTCTTCAGACATGTTTCACTTCTAATTTTCTTCTTTTGAGGATTTAGCCTTCTGATGAACGTCCCTATAAGTGCAAAAACAGAAAAACATGTTCTTTTTCCCACCTGAACGCACATTTTACATCATTTCTGCTTGTGTGTGTGTGTGTGTGTGTGTGTGTGTGTGTGTGTGTGTGTGTGTGTGTGTGTGTGTGTGTGTGTGTGTGTGTGTGTGTGTGTGTGTGTGTGTGTGTGTGTGTGTGTGTGTGTGTGTGTGTGTGTGTGTGTAAAGGGAGGTAACCCCCTACAAGACTAAAAAGACTCCTTTGATCCATCATTTCACCTTTGCGCCCCCCTTCTCCCTTCGTTGGCCTTCGTTTTGCCCTTTCCCTCTACACCACTCCACCCCACGTTTGAACAGGCTAACGTTTTTAACACAAGGCTCTTTCTTGTCTCGGTCAGCTTCGGCTACAGACACACACACAAGCACACACACGTGCGCACGCGCACACACACACACACACACACACACTTACTCAGGCTTCACAAAGGTCGGTCTGTGCGTTAGGACAGCGCTGTGTTTATTTTTCCAGCAGCCAGCGCTCCCGACAGTTGCCTTTATTGTTCATTGTTGGCGGATGGATGGATGGATGGATGGAGCAGAGGGGGAAATGAGGGAAGAGAAGGGTTGCGCTGGGCATTGGAGGGCAAATGGATGGCTCTCACCTTCCTGAGTGGTCAAAGGGCGGCTGCTTGCTTCACTCCCTCTCCACATCTCTGTTGTTTTTATCTCCTGCCGTCTTTTACTTTCTTCTCCTTTTTTCCTTCCACCATCGTTTCGCCCCCTTTCTCATCTGATTGGACGAGTGCAGGAATGTGGCTCTGTTAAAGGTAGCAGCTGAGGAACAATGAACGATTGTGCTAACCCACACATGCACACACGCACACGCACACACACACACACTCACACACACACACACACACATACACGATAAAGGCACGTAAGCAAACATCAGTACATATGACCAGTTGAGCACTCACACACTTGCGCTGATTGGGCCTCAGTGTACCTCCCTGTAACTACATCCTGTTGAATGATTTAGGCCTCGTGTGCAAGTGTGTGTGTGTGTGTGTGTGTGTGTGTGTGTGTGTGTGTGTGTGTGTGTGTGTGTGTGTGTGTGTGTGTGTGTGTGTGTGTGTGTGTGTGTGTGTGTGTGTGTGTGTGTGTGTAATGGAGCTGGTATGTCAGGATCTAAGGAGTCAGAGGTCAGGCCATGCTAAATGTGAGAAGGAGGTTGGCTGACTGCAGAGTAAACACAGACCAGACACACTCTCATTTGCCCTTTTTTTCCTGCTTCTTTCATTCACACAAGCTCAATCACAGAAAAATACCGCTTGATAGCGCCGTTTCCAAATGCCCACACAATCCAGCTCAAATCAAATACATTTTTATTCCACTTCCAGGTTTTTGTGAGGAATGTAAATTCCCAAACCTGGCTGAGGATTGGTTTTTGTTTGCGAGATGTATGAATCTGGCGAGGATTTTGCGTTTGCTTTTCTCCTGCTCCCCACCACATTTTGCCTGTTTACAAATATTTCCTCAGACAGATTTATTTTTTCCTTCCTTCAATAAGGCAGTAAAAGCCGCTGATGGATGGGACGTGATTAATTGGTGCTGGCCCCCTCCGTACAGGGAAAGCAGTCAACATCTGGTGGTAGAACTCTACTGCGCACAAATGAACGCTATCCAAGCAAATCTTCTGCTGCCGTGACCCCTCCTGCTGCTCAAACCTTCTAAGCAGTCGTATATTAAGTCGCTGATGTCTTTACTTATTGTTCCTCCTGTTCTGGTATCCGTCCCTCAGAGGCTGACCTCTGAACTCATCCCAACAACCTCTCCTGTCCTCGTGCATTGCAATCTGAAGTTTAGGTTCAGATTATAGAAAGCTATATTTATTTAAATCTTAGGTACAGGCAGTTATCCTTTCAGCAGTGCTTTATAGCGTAACCTTAGCTGAGTCGTGTATTCGTCTTCAAAGTGCTACCATTTCACCTTTGACCTTTCTACCCCCTTCCTGTTTTGCCTCCCCCCTTTAGGTACCCCAGACAGCCTGGCGGAGAAAGAGCGCCAGCTCATGGGCATGATTGGCCAGTTGAGCAGCCTGAGGGAGCAGCTCCTGGCGGCCCACGAGGAGCAGAAGAAGCTGGCCGCCTCACAGATGGAGAAGCAGAGGCAGCAGATGGAGCTGGCCAAGCAGCAGCAGGACCAGGTACAGGAGCACGCTGCATGAGAAGGGCCTCATTTGGAAAGGCCCATACACTCTCATATATACATGTTGCCAAAAAGTCCATCCTAACGAGCCATTCGGTCCAATTTACAATGTAAAGGGGGGAAAAAATCCACATATGTGGTGATTTGATTTACTTCGTTTTGGATTTTTAGCTGAAAAGGTTTAAGATTCAGATTCTAATCTGCTCTAATTTATTAGCTAGATCAAGAAAAGTGATTGGAAGCAGATTTTGTGCTCCTACACACAATCTGGTTAGCTAGTGTGCAGAAGCAGAATTTAAAGTCTGACAGTGCAGACATAAACAGCAGAAATGGACACCAGAAGCCCAGAGGAAGACTCTGGATTCCAACCAGAGAACTAATTAAATTACTGAAGCCTGCAGGTCAGAGTGGGTGTTTTACCTGGATGAGTTCCTCGTCTGAAAACCCTCTGACTCTGATTTAGTAAGAAAATCTGATTTTAAAAATCACTGAATTTTTCTACTTTGTTGTCTCAGTTTCACATTTCACACAGGAATCAGCTGAGGGTGTGTGGTGGTAGAGCGGATGTAGCAGAGGCACAAACACGCACACACACAAACACACACGCGCACGCGCACACACACACACACACACGCCCGCACACACACACACACACACACACACTGCAGCACTTACACACACTTCACGCTCCCAGGCAAGAGTTCTGCCAGGTACTTGCATGGTGAAGGGTTTCCCTTTATGTTTTGGCTCTTTTTTTTTTTTTTTTTTGCTTTGGGAGAGCCGGGGCTTACAAAGAGACACAGAGAAGTACAGCTGTAGGGACAAATCACCTGTGACAAACACAGCGCATTACAGAGCTGCTGGCTGCACCTCACAGCGGTGCACAGAGTGAGCGAGACAGAAGCCGGATCAGCGTGGGCACAGTCCAGGAGATTTTTAGGACTCAGAACCATTTAACGCATACAGTAAACTTAAAAGAAAAGCTAAAAGTGAAGATCTGTTCGTGTATGAAGCCCAAACGCTGTTTTGTACTCGCAGCAGAGTCAGCATAGCTTCTGTCAGCGTGTGCATCGCTGTTTTACTGCTGACTCCAGATGAGGCGAGCTCTTTAATATTTCATCGAGGGGCATCGACCTTCTGTTGTGCAGCGGGGGCCTCAGAGACCGGCAGATGTGTCGCCTCTCCCTACAGCACACACACACAAACACACACATGCATGCACGGCACCACACACCTGCCGAACGTTCGCTCTAAACACGCGTGGTGTGCTCTGTTCACAGATTGCCCGGCAACAGCAGCAGCTTCTGCAGCAGCAACACAAAATCAACCTCCTGCAGCAACAAATCCAGGTGAGGCCCGCTTGTGTCTTTGTGCGTCCACAAGTGTGTGTGTTTGTGCAAATGTTGTGTGTGAGTTTGACACACAAAAGGGTGGTTCTGTGATTGCGATTGTTGCAGCTTTTCTTTGCTCAGCAGACATGAATCAGCTTGTGCCGTCACTGAGAACTGGTCAGTTGATGAATCGTAAGAATTGTTTTAGCAAGTCTAATGTTGTCCACATTTTAGCTATTCTTCTATCCTACGTTGCTGAGCACTGACGCGTCATGGACACACATGCAGAATCCTTCCTGGTTTTATTATAATGTAACTCGGTTTAGAGGGAAGAATGAATGTTTGAAAAAGTGCCATGTCCTACATAAAAGTCCCAATCAGAGCTGGCCTTACAACGACGCTTCAGAAATGTCTCAACATGTTTGTGAGAGTTAGAATTTGACTCACTGAGCCTTTTTCTCGTGCTGCTCGGACATTGATCTAGTTCAGATGCTTGTAAGATGAATTTCTCATCGTTGAACCTTCTCAGCTCACAATCTGTGAGTCAGAAGGGTGATGAATAAGATAACTCCGGGAGGAGTTAGTGACCAGATTTGGAGCAAAAGTGCATCAAGCACAAAGTGAGACATAATTGAGACATTCTCTGATAAGGAAATTTACTGGTCTGTCAGTTTGTTGGCAGTGTCATCAAATGGGATTTGAAGCATCATATTATATGTTAAATTATATTGATTTAAACAAAGTTATCTGATTTTATACATTAATAAAACAGTTATCTGATTATCTGAAAAATTTCTTTCCTTTTACATCATTACCTGATTTATTGGTTAGCAAGCAGATTCTTAACTAAATGAATTGTTTTGTTTTCAAGCAAACCAACTAATTCATGCAGGCAGACTCTCATGTTTGTTTTACGTTTTTCAGGCCGTGTCGTCGCTGTCAGAGGTCCTTTTAGAGTTTTTTTCTTAAGCGTTGTCATCAGACATTCAGGTAGACGCTCCTTCGCAACTAAACTGTCAGAAATGCTAAATCAATTTTCTCTTTTCAGAGACGAAATTTGATTTTAAGGATGATAAAAATCCAACCTGGAGTCATTTTGAATGAGACTCTTTGTCTCCCGTCTGGAGAAGATGGGCGGGTGTACACGTTCCTCTTAAAAATAGACGTATTGTACTTTCAGGGGCTACACTGGAGCCTCTATTTTGGTTCCAGGTGGCTTGGAACGAAGAGCCCAGGCCTTTGTAAAGGCAGATGACACTGAATTTTAAGCTGAGAAAGCTGGGCTTTGTACCACAAAGAGACACCCTGTCCAAGGAGGAACACACACACACACATTCTATTTCTCCCTAGAGTTCAGCCATACACAGTTTGCGTGATAAGAGACCTTGTGATGGCGTGTGAGTTGGATGTTTGTGTTCATGATTCTGTGTAAGGCGGTTTATGTTCTTTGTGCGAGTCAGATTCGGCATTGTCTTGTTGTTTTTGACACCAAAAACAAACAAACAAACAAACAAAAAAAAAACCCGAAGAAGATATGAGAGGGAGAGCATGTTTGTGTGTCTTAGGGGTTCTCTGTGCCCATCTTGATGCTTTCATTTGTTCATGTGCGTGTGTGTGTGTGTGTGTGTGTGTGTGTGTGTGTGTGTGTGTGTGCGTGCGTGCGTGCGCAGCAGCTGTGTGTGTTAAGCTATAAACACGTCCGCTCATGATTCACTCCCTTGCAACCCCACCGAGACAAAGCTCTCTTTTCCCATGACTTTGCAACCTTTTCCCAAACAAGCGTCTCTCCATTGAGCAGGCCCAACAATAGTTTCTCACAAGCAGGGGCAGCTGTAGGCTGGCTCGTTAGGGGAGGGACACAATCAACGGGGACTCATCACAGGAGCACCAGCAGAAAAACACAAACATGTGTGGAGGTATAGACAAATGTATATATATGCATATAAATATGTATGCTCGTCACATGAATGGGCATGCGTACACAACGCGCATCCTTCACTCGCTGGCATATCACAAACATTCACAAAGATGATCAAACACACACTCATCATCAAAGACTTGGTCGAGAAATGCGCTGCTTAATCATTCATGAAGAGATTGTCTGCACAATCCCTCAATACAATGGCCTGCCAGAGCAAGGGCACCAGGTTCAGTGTGTTGGGGTGTGTGTAGATACATGTGTGTGTGTGTATATGTGTTTTGTGTCAGTACGATAAGCCCCTTGTGATTGCGTTTCTCCCTAACGAGGCTGAGTTCAGCTGTCCCTCCGTGAGTGTGCGTCTTGTCCTTGGCTTTGTTAGACTCAAACCCCCAAAGGCCTGCAAAGAATGCTTTCAACCGTCCACTTGGAAGAGGTGATGAAATGATGCAGCTCGTGAAAAAGAGAGGAGAGTGACACACATCCTTAATGAAAAACGGGCAGAGAGTGACACACATCCTTAATGAAAAACGGGCAAATTATTTATTGTCCCCATCTTTGGTTTGCTGTTTTACTCGCCCCCAAACCCGCCCAAAAAACATCAAGCTAGAGAAGTTTGCACTCGCTATTTAGGCCATATGTGGTGTTTAATAAAAGGGAGGAGCATCAGAGCAGCACACGGTCAAAATAAAGCTTTAAAACACACTCACGGAGTTCAGAAGTCTGATAGCCGCTGGTCTGATTCAGGGATTTTGAGGGAGAATCACTTCCGATGATCCCACAGTCTCTGCTTCTCTCTTTATCCTTCTTGATCTGCTATTTTAAATCAAATGTGTTATTTTCTGACCTGAAATCATTATTAAACAAGCCTGATGCAGAATCTAACCACTCTCAGTAACACAAATCTAAGAATAATTGCCTCAATCTTCATCAAACCTTGCTGAAGAATTCCTACACAGAAGCGAGTGTGTACAGAAAATACACACACACGCAAGCGCGCACACACACACTCCCGTGCAGACACTCTCGAGCACAAACCCCCTGCTAGGGGCCTTCTTGTTAAGCTCAAAGAGGTGAGCGCATTTCCTTCGAGTTCCCTTTACTCTCCCCCTCGTCTCGTCTTATTCTAATTAAACGTCTTGTCTATGAGGCTCCCCCCGGTGCTGCCGGGGACGACTGGAGCTGCCACGCGGGGAAGCGTGACAGGGATGAAAGGAGCTCACCTGCCGAGCGGCTCAGGGCTTACCTTGAGAGCAAGCGCACATGTTCAGAGAGCGGCATACGCACAGTGTATGCTGAAACAGATGGATGAGCGAGCACAGAGCGTGTCCGGCCTAATGAATCCAAACCTACTCAACCAAAACACCCTGGCCCAGTCGAAAGGGTGTGTCGCGATGTGTCTTTCATCTCATCAAGAAGCACAGCCGCTATAGGTCAGAAGCCATCACGGTATAGGAGATATGCGAGAGAAGAGGTCTAAGAAGATTCCTATTAATGCCGCAAAATGTTGTTGACGTCTCACACAATTACACTTTTTGGGCACTTTCTGAAAAGATTAGTAATAAAAATTAGTTTTGGATCACATCTGAAGTCAGCGTCCTAGACCCATCATCTGTTTAAACACAACAGCTCCAGTCATTTTCTCCCAAGCTCCTAAAACCTGGACTACAACCAACCAGCCACCTTCTCACACGCACAAACACCATCTTCTCATCACATTCTGGTCCTTCTGATCCCAATTGCATCTCTATCCAGCCTAATGTTGCCCCCCACAGGAACTAAATGGGCTAATATTAAAAGGCAGCCATATCTCTGCTTCTCTTTTTCTCTCTCTGCTAAAATTTAATTATTGGTTCTATTGCTTGCGCGTCACCTCTTCAGCAATAGGTCGCCCAGGTCTTGCATTAATTGCCACAACATATGGTCGCCAACAGATTTTAGCTGTGGGACTTTAGCGGGGGCTATTTTTTCGCGAGCTCTAACACGAGCCATATTGTGCGACGCTGGCAGCTATTGTTCGGCGCATTAACTTCATAGAGCTAATTACTCCCCAATAATAACTTTACCTTGGAGTTTTAAAGCACGCCGCGTGCCAACCAACCTGTTTCGCACCCCATATGCTAATTAGCGGCCACATCTTCATTATGCCGCAGCGGCGCTTTAAGTTCAAGCTGTGCCGCCTGGCGCGTGGTGAACGCAGCCTCGACTCGCTGCCAATTATCCAACTCTTCTGCTCCCGTCTCCGTGTCTTCCTTCTTCTCCCTCTCCTGTTTATTCCGTCGTCTCTATCAGCTGCTTCTCTTCTGAGATGCCGTCTCACCAGCTAGAGCCGTCAGTTCCCCTTTGACCTGAGGAAGTTCTCATCATTTATTGTTTCTGTTTTATACTATTTGTCTCTCGTTTTGTTATCGATGATTAGAGGAACATTTGGGATGAGCCCTGTTTCAGGTTTCGGCCTAGGAGTAGGGGTTTGTGCGGATAAAAAGCATCTCCTCTTACTCTCCACGTCAGCAGACTACAGCAGCACCACTGTGAAGCTTTGCCTTCTGTGTTTTGTAGGTTTTCATGTTCGCTTTAGGCCTGATGAGACAGAAAAGCCGAGGAGTGCATTATTCCCCAAAGTGCCCACTGTTTCAGATCTCCTTCTTCCTTTATGTGGGATCTGGAGATCATCTGATAGATCTGGTCTTGCTCTCATCCTTCCATCTCTCTGTCAATTCATCTCTTTGTTTCTGTTACTCTCTTTGTTACTGTTGTGATCACAAAGCTGAGATAAAAATGTACTTGGAGGTATAATTCATTATGAGTAGGGATGCTTAGAGATGTGAAGGAATGCAGATGGAGATGGGAGTCCATGTTTCCAGCGTCTTCTCTGATGCAGTCGCATCCACAAACCTGTGTCCGTCTCTCTCTTCTTTGCTCGTCCTTTTTGTGGATTTGTCTGTGCAGCGGCGTTGTGGAGACTTGTGCATGTTATGCAACAGTTCTGTAGGCTGATTAATGTCTGCCCATTGTGTGCAGGCTTTTTGTTATGAGATCAAAAGACAAGCGAAGACAGAGGGTGAATCCTAGGCTGCTTTGAAGGGTTTTCTATGATAGTTCCACTGCAAAAGGAAGAAAAGCCGTTTGTGCTCGCTGGCGTCTTGCAGCACAGATGCATTTCATCGGCCTCAAACTTCCTTTCCTCTTCTCCCCTTTTTCCTCTCTCCTCCCTTTGCAGTTTTGGTAGCCAGCTCAACTCCAGCATATGTCCAATTAGGCCTGAAAGGCAAAGTAGAACTGTTCTGTCTGTGATTCGTCCCCGCGGGGGTCCTGTCCGAGCGTTCTTTCTGCTCGTGCAGGCAGTACGAGAGTTTACGGTTAACCAAAAAAAAAAAATGCTGGAGTAAATATTGTTGTCGGTGAAAGATAGAAAAAAGAGGGGGGGGTGAATTTGCTTGAAGAGAGCGCTATTCCCCTGTGCTGTGATAGCTTGATTACAGTGCTGCTGGCATGCCAACACGTAGGAGCAGGAGGAGGAGACACACTACCAGAAACACACACACACACACACACACATAGGTACTTACTGTAACAGCTCTGTTAGCACAGAGCGACACCGTCTCAAACACTAACCACTTCAAGTGCTGAATTATTACCTGACTGTACTGTGGCACCACCGTCCCTTGTGATTGTACCGCCATTTCTATCATTTCAGATCAATTTTCCACATCAGACGGCTTTTACCTGCTTATTATCCTATTCAGCCATTACCCCTCTGGATCTCCTGTCAAAACAACAGTGACAGAAAGGGAGAGGGAGGGAGAGGAGTCTCCAAGACGGAGCAAAGAGCTTTACATCCAGACGCGTTTAAAAACTTCTGTAAAGTTTTTTAATCTGTTTTTTGAAAAGTGCATCGATACGCCTGAGCGAAGCAGAGACGTCACATGTTAGATAAGTGGTTACATTGTAGGACCTGCATCTTCTCATTTTATTTCAGTACAGTGTGGGCGACTATCACTGTATTGCTGCCATTCCAAAAGATTCAAAAGCAAATCTGGTTGCCAATGAAAGCAACGCATTGTGTGTTTGAATGAAATGAACCGAAGGAGCGATGCCTTCAGAATAATAACGAAAGTTCAGAGGTGTTGCAGGAACGACTCTTATTGTGACTTTTTGTTAATCTAACAGTCGGATTCAGCTATTCCTGCATCACTTCAACCCTCATCTCCGTCAGATCCATGTCTCCTTCTCTCACCTTTTCTCTACTCTCCTCCTCACTTCCACTCCTCATGCTAACTGTCAGTCAGTCCATCACATGCGAGTCTTTGTGTGTTGTTTTTGGCAGATCGCTGTTTAGTGCAACCATCTGTCTCCTACTTCTCTCTCTCTCTCTCTCTCTCTCTCTCTCTCTCTCTCTCTCTCTCTCTCTCTCTCTCTCTCTCTCTCTCTCTCTCTCTCTCTCTCTCTCCTGTCGTTCTTGCCAAAGTCACCCATTGGAGGAGCTTTTTTTTCCTCCTCCTTTCTGCATCTTCTTTTAAAATCCTGGAAACCTTATGAAGTCGTATGGCTCTCTGCCGACAGAGAGGTTTGTGTGTGTTTTCGGTTGAGGGAGAAGATATTATCGTCCAAGTAAAAGTAAAAGGCCAGCTGTTGTTACAGTATAGAGAACTGTCCTTGTGGCTTGATTTTTGTATTTGCAACAACAAGATGGTATAGTTTTTGAGTTCCTTTTCTTCTTTCTACCTGCACACCCCTCCTCCCTCCTTCATCAGCAGGTCCAGGGCCAGCTTCCTCCACTGATGATTCCCGTCTTTCCTCCTGACCAGCGGACTCTGGCGGCAGCCGCAGCCCAGCAGGGCTTCCTGGTGCCCCCTGGCTTCAACTACAAACCTGGCTGCAGTAAGAAACACACATTCACACACACACCCATGCACGACTGAATATGATTTACAGTACCTTCTTTACAATTTCTTCTGTTTTCTTGTGTGTTTTGTGATTAACCGCGTCATTTGGACAGCTGAGTTCAGCTTCTCCATTAATTAGGAAATCTCTTCAGTGGAACCTGACAGCAGCAAACAGGTTAAAAAAGACAACATTGGGAAAGAGACAAATATGGCAGCCATGGGAAAATCCCATAGCCAGAACCTCAGCTGACCATTAGCAATTAAAACCTTAAAGCAGCGGTACTCTATAGGCGGCCCGTGGGCCTCTTCTCTGTGGCCTCCAAACCACCCCCCTGGTCTCAAGCGGGAGGGGTAGGACCGGCGCTGGTTTGCATGCATTGTTCTGTTATGTTGTAGACTTGTACAATAAACCGCCAATTACCCCCTCCCCCGACACACGACCTCAGGGGGAAGGGACTGCGAAGGTGTTTCACTATATTGTAGGCTTGTGTGACCCCGGGCCGGACCTCGCACATCAAGGTCATTTTGTTGAGTGGCCCTCGGACCATTACATTTGACTAACCCTGCCGTAAATTAACACTAAAGCCTGGGGCACACCAGAGGCGAACGCGCCGTGCAGCGGTAGTCACAACATCACGTGGGATTTGAGAACAGGAAATGGGAAGTGACTCTACTGTTTACACGTGACTTCTAATTCATTAACAGTGTGTAAGTACACAATTTAATAAAATAGTTTAAGATAAATAATAGTTTAAAGTTATCAAAACTGCGGCTGGGTTTGTGCTGTAAAGCAGTTCCGTGTCGTAATGTCTGTTGTAAAGTACCCACAATGTTGTAAACAGCCACGCCACCGCCGCCTCCGGTGTACCACAGGCTTAAAATTTGTCCTGCTCTGTCCTCCTGCTGGTTAAAATTTGAATTACAACTGTTGTAAATGGCCCTGCCACAACCTGCTATAGCTAGCGCTAACAACAAGCTAACGCCAACACAAGTCAACTGATTCAAAAGAAGCCACAAAGTTAAAAGATCCACAGTTTTTGACACAACAACTTTACTTTTTATAAGTCCAGTAGCAACAAAGCCAGGTCACCATCAGTCCAGGATTTCATATCGTCCTTCAGCTTGCTAAAACGAGTGTAGTCAACTCTAATTTTAGCCATTTGCTTCACCTCTTTTACTTTTAACTCAAGGTTCCGCTGTAATGTAAACAAGAAAGAGCTAAATTATTTTTATTTATTTGCGCCTTTTATTGATGGCTGGCATACTGAAAAAGCTAACTGCTAGCCTTTATATGACCTGCAAATGTCTGTAGCGTGAGACTTCCCACCCAAACCACAAAACTGTTAAGTGTGGTTTCTGGTCAGCAGAGGGAGGCAGAATGCTGTCCAGCGTGAAGTTGCTCAAGTTTATGGCTCAAGAATCACTGAAACCAGTTTGAAAGCAATAGCTTTAAGTGTTAAAAACTCTTTAGTGTTGCTTTAAACATCTTTAAGATCCTGGAGTCTTTTGGGAACAGCAAAGCAGCCCCAGACGTCACACTAACCCTACCGTGAAATGCAGCAGCCAAAAATCCTGTAGATTCACTCGGGTTATCTTTGGTCAAAATTGAAAGGTGTTGCCTGGTCTGAAACATAAAAGTTTGACCAAAACAAAAACAGAAGAAATTTGTAAGGAGGCTTTTTCAAATCACTGTAGTTGCAACCTCAAGAGAGAAAATTAGCTTTCATGTGAATTTTCAAAACTCTTTCATTAAGATAGGTGGAAGCTGACCCCCTCCCACATGAAGGGTCTGATTACTTCCCAAAAGGCAAGCTTGCCCCTACAACAACAACAACTCCCTCTTAATAGAAAAATCAGTCCAAATACAGCCTTCCTGTTTACAGTCTCAATATCTCTCCCTCTTCCACTCGGTCCTTTTGGCTCCTTCCTTTTGTCTTGTCTATTTTTTGACATATAAAAGCAACAAAATGAAGGCGTTCTGCTTTTTTTTTTTTTCTTTGGCTATCATGCTCCGGCTGTGTGGCAATGTGTTGTTTACCATGATAGAGAGAAAGAGAGAGATAGACAGAGGAAGCAGACTGGTGCTTGCCAGGGGATGCTGGGAATAAATGCACACTAGGGGGTTAGCAGAAGGGGGTGGTGGGGGGCTGGTAATGTGACCTGCCCCAGGTTCTCCTCACATTAACACGGGACGCAGCCAGAACATGTTTCCAACTCAGCCCACATGCACTAACGCACACACGGACGTCCAAACAGACAGGGACTGCTTTGTGATGTGGCAGACAAAAAATGTATTAAAAAAAAAGCCTAAACCATCACCAACGATATGTCATAATGTTTAGGGACATAGACTCGTTCAGTCCCACCCAACCCCCCCACAGCCCGATTAGAGTTTCACAGCTTCCCAAACAAGTCCATTCCATTTTAATTAGTGCCATCTTCCCCCACACCCACTGCCCACGTAAATACCCCGTCAAGTAGTGGGCTTGTCTTTTCGCTGCCTCAGCCAACTCCAACTGGACTGGCACGCCAGAGCGGGCCAAGCCGCCCCTGAGAAAACTCTCTGGCAACTTTCAAAGTTGATGCAGTTTGGTGCTGCGGCTCGAAATAGGCTGCATGTAGCGCTGTGCTCTGACATATTCTCACGGCACTTCATCGCAGGCATGGACAGAATTTATACGCACTGATTCAACCTCTGTGGCATCCACGGCTTCTTCTTTCAATGGTTTTATGACAGTTGGTCGTTAAACTAGAAACATACTTTTTTATTTTTCTCTGCATGTTTTATGATGGGCATCAAAACCATATTTTACTTTATTTTTCATGATCTTGTGAAAAACTGATTGTCGTGGCACCAAACTTCACTGACTAGATTTCTCTTATGAGTCTTTTCTCGACTGTTCTCCCTCTTTTGTCTGTTTGTTGTTGAGATCTCCTCCTTTAGGTCTCTGCCCCCGAGCCAAAAGCAACATGTTTGCTTTTCTCTGTCCCGCTCCCTTTTGTCACAGCGACCCCCAGGAGGAGCATAAATATCCACTGGACTCATGTTTGTCTAGGAAGCACAGAGAAAAGACCAATCTCGTAGAATACACAGTCCTGAAATAATCCTTTAATCCCACCTGCTTCACTCCCTCACTGAAAAACAAAGTCACAGCTTTGCTTTTAGTAGTTTAGTCTTTATTTTCTCCCAAAGTTTTATGGGAACATGTTGGAAGGAACGTCTGGTTTATACCGAGCTTTAGTTCATACAGAAGTATCTGATGTACCAGAATCTGACCCTGGTTCTGAGGGGTTCAGATCACAAAAATGCAAGTTTAACCCTTGAGAACATTCTCCAGTTTTATGTACAAAGTTAATATATTCCTAAATGACGTTGAAGCCAGAACTCCTGAACTGGGAACCAATGTGTTTATACAATACGGCCATAATTAAACACAAGCTCCTCATGCAGTTCATCTGCCTGCCCTCCGTTTCCTCTGCCTCTTCATCTCTGACCTCTTTGTTTCCCTTTTCTGGCTCTCAGAGTAATTACAGCACATCCTTTCTGCACCTACCAACTAATAACCCAAACTCGTCGTTTTTCTTCTCTGGCTTCTCCCTGAACCTCCATTATCTCCTCCATCGCGTTCATTTATCTATCTCTTCATTTATTATTCCTGGCAGCGAGAGAGACAAGAAGCAGAAGTGGAAAGGAGTTAAAGATGACAACAAAACAAGTAAAACGAAAGAGAAAACAAGCACCTGAAGCGATGCTCTCCCCATGAGGCAAGAGAACATTCAGCTGAGGTTTTAAAAAAAGCAGGCAGACATGAGAGAGCAGCAATCGCTTGTCGCAGCTCTTAATTTTGGCACTGGGGCCAGCTTTATCAGAATCCCCTCACCTCGCTGCTCTTTGTCAGGGGGTATTAAGGAGGAGGACACACAATCAGGCTTTTCATTAGGGCCCTGCCGACAAGGTACACAAAGGATGGCTTTAACAGCTGCAAAAAGAAGAAGAAGAAGAAAAAAATAATTTCTATAGCGCCTCTCAAGATAGAAATCACGAGGCGCTTCACAAAAACAAAAAATGTAAAAATTTAAAAAAGAATTTAGAAAATGGTTAAAAATTTATTCAAAATGAGCAAAAAATAGACAATTGTGATAAACAAAATGTTAAAAGAGAGAGAGAGTGAATAGGAAAGAGGGAAATCAGTGGATCCTGAGGAAGGTGGAATAGGTGAGGAGAGCAGAACAAGGAGAGAGGGGTTGAAGAAGGTCATACAAAAGCCAGCTTGAGCAGGTGAGTCTTCAGCTGCTTTTTAAAGGAGACCACTGAGACCACTGATCTCAGACTCAGGGGGAGAGAGTTCCAGAGTCTGGGGGCCACAGCAGCAAATTATCTGTCACCTTTGGTCTTTAGCCTGGTGCGCTGCACAACCAGTAGGCTCTGATCACTGGACCTCCGGGACCTGCTGGGGGTGTAGGGACTAAGAAGATCACCAATGTAAGATGGTGCTTGTCCATGTAAGGCCCTATAGACCAGAACCAGGATCTTGAAATGAACCCTGAAGTTGACTGGGAGCCAGTGAAGCTGGAGGAGAAGCGGGGTGATGTGGGTGTATTTGGAGGACTTGGTCAGAAGCCGAGCACAGGCATTCTGAACCACCTGTAGACGGTTCAGGGAGGTTTTTGCTCAGACACGTGAAAAGAGACATACAGTAGTCTAAGCGTGAGGAGATGAAGGTGTGGATAACTGTCTCAAGTTCAGAGCGGGACAGAATGGGACTCAGCTTAGCAATGTTCCTGAGATGGAAGAAGAAAGAGCGAACAAGAGAACTGACATGAGAATCCAGGGTGAGAGCTGGGTCAAAGGTCACGCTAAGATTCCTTACAGAAGGTTTGGTGTGAGAAGCAAGCTGACCAAGAGAGTCTCTGACTTTGGGAACCAGCTTGTTTGGGGCACAGATGAGGATCTCAGTCTTATCTTCATTCAGCTGAAGAAAGCTCCCAGCCATCCAGGTTTTAATGGAGTCTAAGCAGGTGTGTAACAGCTGCAGCGTAGACATCTCATGGGGCTTAAAGGAGATGTACAGTTGGATGTCATCAGCATAAAGGTGGTAGGAGATTCCTTTGAAGAAGCTCAGGATGTGCTGAAGAGGAAGCAGAGAGGGGATGAAGAGCAGAGGCCCCAGCACAGAACCTTGTGGGACACCATGGGTAAGGGAGGTGGCGGAAGACCTAAACTTGGAGACGGCCACAGAAAAGGAGCGCTCAGAAAGATAAGAGGAGAACCACTCCAGAGCAGTTCCTGATGGGCCTACCCAGTCTCTCAGCCTCTCCAGTAGCAGGTGATGGTCAACAGTTTCAAAGGCTGCAGTCAGGTCCAGCAGGACCAGAACAGAACAGTCCCCTGCATCACTGTGAGTCAGAAGGTCATTAGAGACCCTAAGAAGAGCTGTTTCAGTAGAATGAGCTCTACGAAAACCTGACTGGAAGCAATCATAGATGATATGTTCATCAAGAGCAGCTGTGAGTTGTTTAGCCACAACCTTTTCCAAGATCTTGGAGATGAACGGAAGTTTAGAGATGGGTCTAAAGCTGCTATGGAGAGAGGGGTCGAGACTCGGTTTGTTAAGAAGTGGGTGGATTACAGCGTTCTTAAAGTAAGCAGGGACCTGACCAGAAACCAGAGAAGCATTAATTATAGAGAGCACGCTGGGACCGATGGACTGAAAAGCACTTTTAAACAAAGATGAGGGTAAGATGTCGAGGGAGCATGCAGAGGTCTTCATAGAGTGAACTAGTTTGGTTAACTCAGGCAAAGAAACAGGAGCAAAGCTATCTAGGATGATGGGTCTGGTTGGAGTCGGGAGAGGCAGCGATAAGGCTGAAGGAGAGATGCTAGATCTAACCTTATTAACTTTGTCCACAAAGAAAGACAGAAAGTTCTCACAGTCTGCAACAGAGTGGATGGAGGCTGTAGGAGAGGCAGGAGAGACGATGCTGCTGATGGTGTTAAACAGCACCTTGGGGTTCCCTTTGCTCTGGAACACCAGGTTGGAGAAATAGGAAACCCTCGCGTCTCTGACTGCAGAGTTAAAGGATGTCAGAAGATCCTTTAGGTGCAGCAGATGGACGTGGAGATGGGTTTTCTTCCACAAACGCTCAATTTTTCTGCATTGGCGATTCAGGCTGCGAAGGCTGTCATTAAACCAGGGAGTAGGGTTCACTGCAGGAACTGATCTGGTTCTGACAGGACAGATGATGTCCAGAATGGAGAGGCAGTGCTCATTAAACTGAGAAGTTAAGGAATCTGGGTCGTTATCAGAAGAACAGGGTGGATCAAAAGCAGCAGAAAAATTGCTAGCTGTGCTCTCATTAAGAAACCGAGAACTAACCATACGGCGAGCAGGAGGTGGGGACGCAGAAACCGACAAGTTAAAGAAAATGCAATGGTGATCTGAAATATAAACGTCCTCAGGACAAACACTGTCAGCATTTAGACTCAGAGTAAAAACAAGGTCTAGATTGTGCCCCCTGGTGTGTGTGGGGCCAGAAACATGCTGGGTAACGCCGAAGGTGTCCATAAGGCTGGAGAAATTCATGGCAAAGAGATCAGAGGGATCATCAACGTGGATGTTAAAGTCACCAACAATCACCAGTCCGGACAGCTTCACAGTGGAGGATAGAAAGTCACTAAACTCCTGAAGGAAAGAACTGTTTGGACCAGGTGGACCACAGCACAGTAGAACGGGTTCTTACGCCCGACTTTAATCAGCTGCAGTTCAAAGGAAGCAAAGTGAACAGAGGTTGTAGAGCTACATGGAAGATGGTCTCTGAAAACAACAGCTAGGCCTCTGCAACGATCAGAACCCCGGGGCTGGCTAAGAAAAGAATAACCACTCGGGCAGAGTTCAATCAGACCAGAATAATCAGATGTTTGCTGCCAAACTTGTCAGAAACAGAAAATCCAGATTTTTAGAGAGAATTAAATCATTGAGCAGGAAGGACTTATTGTTAACAGAGCGGGTATTTAATAGAGCCATGGACTCAGGTGGCGGGTGGTGGGGGTGATTCAAGAGGAGAGTGGGATGAAGGTAGGATGAGAGGAATGAAGAGGGAGACACTGAAATGAAAGGATGGAAGAAGGTTGTGGATGATAAAACAGATATTTCCTGTTTGTTTCAGGTGACCCCTACCCTCTCCAGCTCATCCCCACAACAATGGCTGCCGCTGCAGCCGCCACTCCTGGACTCGGACCCCTACAGCTACAGGTAAGGCTGCTGCGTCTGGGAAGCTCAGGAGGGGCCAAAATCAGGAATTAAATTGAAAAATCACAAGTCTGTTTGCACAGCATGCTGTTAATCTACCACGAACAGGTCAGGAGGGGGTGCAGGGCTGGTGGACAGTGAACTGATGAAACCAAAATATGTGCTTCATGATCAGAGCTAAAATCACACAGAACCAGTGTTGCCCTGGTGAACTGATGATGTGACAGGTTAGACAGGAGGACAGAAAGACTCAGATATGTCAAGAATATTTTAAAAGTGATGCTAAAGAAGTTTTAATCTCTTTTTGGAGCAAAGATCTCACTTCAGAGGTGAGGTCATGGCATGTTTTATTATGAAGTTCATTATCAATAATATAAATAATCTGCATTTATATCTCTTTTTCAACAGGGTTCCTTATTCACACACACACAAACACACACACACTCCTAAAAGATACAGGCAAACAAACCTGTCAGATTATGTTAACCGTACTTTTCAGACTATAAGGCGCACTTAAAACCCTGAATGTTCTCAAAAATTGACAGAGTGCGTTACGTATTATTTCTGTTTGTGTTTACTGACATCAAAGCAATTTTATGTGGTACGCAAACTCTAAAATTTATCACAACTTTGTTAAGCTACGAAGCTGCACCGCCTGATGGTTTGGCGGAGCGTTACCTCTACCCTAGTCAGGAGCCTCGCGGAGTGATATGTGCTGGGCTTCAACATTCCGGTAGTATTATGTTATGTGAATAAGGACCCCAAAAGAGACATGCTGATGAAGCAGGTTTCAAACTAAGGCTTCCAGTCACGCAGTAGAACATGGGAATAGAGCAGCTGTGAGAGAATTCAACATTACAGAATCAATGGTACGGACGTGGAGGAAGCAAGAAGATGACTTCTGCCAAGTAAAGGAGACCAAGGACAGTTTCCGCAGGATGAAAAGAAGATGGAGGACAAAGGTAAACAGTGGGTTATTGAGCAGAGAAAAGCAGGTAGATGAATCTGTAGTCTATTCAACTCAAGGCAACAGCGAAAGCCTGTGACATGAAGATCAATGACTTCCAAGAAGGTCCCTCTTGGTGCTTCCGTTTCATGAAAAGACATCCTCTATCCATCCGCATACCATCTCCCAGCAGCTGTCCAAGGATTATGATGAAAAGCTGGCCATTTTCTGCACCTAATGCAAGAACAAGATCATTGAAAAGAAGATCTGGCCAGAGCACATCGCCAACATGGACGAGTTCCCCATCACCTTTGACATCCCCGTTAACCATACTGTTGGGAAAACAGGGACCAGTACGGTATCTATATGCATGACAGGGAACTAGACGTTATCCTGTGCTGTAGTTCTTTATTGCAAGGCTAATGGCTAGAAACTATCACCCGTGGCAATTTTCAAGAGGAGAGAGCAGAGAATGTCTCGTCTAAACACCAGAAGACAGCAGAACTCCTTCAGGCAGGAGTTATTTGTGGAGATAAAACATCAATGTTGCAGAGCAAACTGAGTCAGTGGTAGAGTCACATTGCTGTTAGACAATCAGAGGCGAGATCTCCCAATATAAGGAAATAAGACTCCAAGTCCTGTCATCTTCAGCTCACCTTTCTTCGGGCCTTCTTCTGCTTCCTGAAACAGGAGCACAAGAGTTTTTCCCCCTCAGAAATCAACTCACAAGGCATTTGTTTATGCTAGAGTTTACTAAAAATGTATTGGGAAAAAAAACAAGTGAACTAATAGGTCTTTAATGCTGGTAAAAAAAAAAAAAGAAAAAAAATATGGCTGAAATAAACAGGTCTTCATTGTAAAGTGGTACAGAATTCCTCCACGCCAATCACTGGTTGTTTTTGAGTTAATAAAAATAAATCAAATCAGAATTTGAAAGCAGCTTTGTTTCAAGATATGATAGAAAAGCAGTAAAAGAAGACAATTCTGAAGGGTTCAGTACTTTTTCACAGCACCGTGTTAACCCTCTGATGCATGAATTATGAAATCTTCAACCATGATTTTTTAAACAATTTTTTTCATCCATCTTTAGGTGTGAATGAAACAAATTTCAACAAATATTTTTGTAACATTTTGTTAATTTACAAATAATTTATTACATGTCCACCTCAGTGGACAGCGTGCATTCTGAACATGAAATATGTTGGGTTGACTTACTGAAGTCCAAATGGAGGGGCTCACATGCAATAAAGTCTTCAACAGCTGTGCTTAATAGCAAAAATAACGTAATAACAATTTTGAGTACCTGTCCACTGCAGTGACCATTATGCATCAAAGGGTTAATTTAGATTCCCGGTAAAAATTCTCTTCCACTGACATCCGACAGAGCTCTCACACCTTCACCATGATCTACATAACACTCTGGGGCAGCCAAGCTCATGAGTGGGCTCGTCCTCACTTCCTCCTCCATGTGCGTAATTATCAAGTAAAACACGCACTGACATCTGGGTGCAACAGCTGCGTTGACAAGCAAGTCCCCGTGTACATTAACGTGTCTTATCTCTGACCACTCGCACGCAGACAGGATGATGGGAAACACAAGTTAAAGGTTAGACACAGAGAGCGTGTATCGCATTTGCACCTGTCAGCCCAACGCCTCGTCCCTTATGCTAGACACTACAGGCAGAGTGGAATAACTGTGTTACTCTGTCATGTAGAACGAGCCCCGCTGTCGACACTGATTTCATTATTACTCCCGTGTGTTTGTGTGCGCCCAAGAATAATGTTCTCTGTCTGCTGTTGCTTCCTCAATCTAGCTGTCCATATGTTCATCCGTGTTCAGACTCGGCCCAAATCTCCAGCTCCGTCCACCTTGGGTTTTTATTTTTGACACCAGCAAAGAGGGGTGAAAGAACAAAAATGCAAATCACTTTACAAAAAAAGAATCATCTCAATGACAGATTTCCTGCGTACAATCCTCACACAAACACTGTTGCCCATTGAGATTAAGGCTTTGTGGGAGAGATTTGCCCCGTCTAACACGAGTGCAGATGTCTCAATGTGGATGGATTTCCTTTGGGATTGTCTCAGCGACCTCATTTGATAAGGAGGTGTTTCTGTCACCGAGAAAAGACGTGACAGTTAGCTCAGGCCTTGGGTCGCCGCGGTAACACTGTGGTTTGGCCGAGAGGAGACAAGCGAGAAAAAGAGACTTGAAAAAAGCTAAGGCTTCCCTTCTCAGCTTCTCTGCAGATACAAGAGCATTGAAGCTTCCCCACGAAATGTTAACATTCACAGACTTAGGCGCTATAGTTGATTGTGTTATTATTTTCACAACTATTGGCATTATTTGTATGCTGTCATCTATAATTTCAGCACTCTTGTTGCTAATCGAATATAAAAATGGTGTAATGGTACCCCTGTGCACACACACGCGCACACATATCGAATCCCCACGCACTCTCCTAGACTCCCACTGACATAATATAAGATCTAAAGCACCCTGCTGTTGATCACAAAGGACCACTAACTGCTTAAATCTTCAGTAATACTTGATTAACCTTTAGGTAGAGAAGAAGAGGATGAAACACAAACAAGGAAGACTCATCTTTTAGGATTTAGAGTTTTTAAACATTTTCACCTCAAATAACCAGCTCGCATTTTATTATGCTAAACAAAGTTAATCGATTTTATTATCCTAAATATTTGGAGATCTTTTTTCTGATTTTAAAGGCTACATTTTAGATTTACACTTTACATAGGTTTGTTTAACTAAATATACAAAGCTACATCCAAATGTTGAAATCTAAATGTAAATGATCAATTTGCTACTAAATATTTTACCAACAGGAACATTTTGCGCCATTAAAGAGACAATGGGTATTTTTACTGTTTATCTCTGGAAATATCCATCGAAATGTTGTTGGAAAATAATAAAATGATGTTCAGTTGTTCAAAAATATTGGCGGCTTTGCGGCATATAACCATAAAAATAGGGTCTAAGTACATAGAGCATGGGTCTAGCGTCCTTCTGGCCAGCTCGAGGTCCTGCGCCTGTCGATGACATCACACTAGATGATTGGCCGGATGTACGACTTACGGAAGGAAGTTCAAAAGTGTTTAGGCAGTAAGAAACACAAATTTAATAACAAAACTGCTAAACTCTTTCCAAAATCTACATATGTGAAAGAACAGACTAAAAAAAAGAGATGGTATTAATTTTGGCCGAGCGGTATTGCCGTTGTATGATGACGTCATCAGCAGGCGCAGGACCCTGAGCAGATCTGCAAACCAGCCCCAGAAAACTACAATCAGCAGCTCTCGATGGAATTAACTGAAGGACTATCAAAGTCTCAGAAGTCATGCCAAGGTTTCATGCTTTCTGCTCCACACATAACAACACTTACCGTAATGTTTTCTAAACTAGCGACTTGGTGTAAAACTACCCTGAAATGTATGTACTGCCCCCTAGTGCCAAGAAACTGCACACTGCCACTTTAAAAGGAAGAAGCAGGGTGAGAAGATTTCCTCAGAGTTCCTTCCAGCTCAGACTTTCCCTACATTCCTGTCTGGTTTCTTTCTGCATGCAGATAAATGGTGGAAGGGATGCACATCTGCTTTGATGAGCTTTTTCCGTTTTATGGGTGTCTGAATTTACATGTCAGTTGAAAATAGTTTAAAACCACAAATATTTATTTAAATTTCATTTCTATTGAATCAATTCTTCATTTCTGGGATTTCCATATGTAGGGATGTGATTGTGAATATTTAAGTCTTACTTTTTATTATTAAATTTGAACAAGATAAGAAACCACACACTTCAATCTGCGATGTGAGAACTTTATTAGTCAAGCTTTTGGTCAGATTCTTGTCTTGTTCATTCCACTTTTGATCCTGCACCTCACCCAGAAGAGCGGTGACTCCTTCCACTCTAGTATTAAATTAGACTCAGAAACATTTTTCTAACATTATCTGAGGTTAAAGTTGGTGTTACCAGTTATATTACCAGTTACACACATTACTTTTACATTCAGTGTCCTACACACTTGAGCCCAGATGTAAGGGTATATTGTACTTTAGCAGAAATGCTCTTCACAGCTGTTGACCGTTTGAAAGCTTCCTCTTCTTCAGCCGGTACGCCGTAGATACGAGACAAGAAATCATGCTAAGGAATCGTGACTTTTTGACCTGCTTACACTTTATAACAAGTGAATACACGGAATGAAAGGAGACTAAGAGGAAGTCTCTCAAAAACACAGCGATAAGTGCAGTCTGCAGGAAAAAAATGTATTAATCTCTGTGATTTAAAGCTCTTTCTGTCATCTTCTTTTCTAACAGCCTCCATAGAAATCTGTTAGAGTAGCTCTTCTAGTCAATGGTAGCTTAACACTGAATCCTCTCCAGAAGGTTTTTTATGGCCATGGAGACTTTGGAGTGTACGAGGTTGGCATTTAGCTTCTTAATCTGACGGATGAGTGTGACATTGTGCCTCGGAGCATGTTAATCTGGCTCCCTATTGACTCTTGATATCATTGATACAGCATCCACATCACACAAGTGCATCAAGAAAACAGGCAGAGAGCTCGGATATGGGCTGAAACATGCACTTATCCAGAAAACAGTGAAACAGATCGAGCTTGATGATAAAAACGGAAAGTTCCAGAGGAGGATAAAGTTAAAAGGATAGATGGAAAGAAGGGGAGAGAAATGGAGGAGGACTGAGGAGAGGAGTGTGTATGTGAGGGAAAGGAGATGCGTGTTATAAAGAGGGTCAATAGTGAGGGTCAGGCATCATATGGAGAGGCAGATGTTGGAACATATTGTCGTGGATTATTACACTGTACACCGGAGATGTAGCTGGGAGAACAACGGACTGGTGCTCAGAGGGGGGAGGGAGGAGAGAGGAAGGAACAGATGAGGGAAGGTAAAAGCGAAATCAATGGAGCAACTCAACAAAACCTTATCTGGAAAAGAGAGGAAGGATAACGGCAAAGCAGTTTTCTTAGATGTGTGGATCCTTCAGGATTGGTATCTGCAGCGAGGTATAAATGAAACCTTGGAATATTCTGTAGGGATTAATGAGGAATCAATAGGAGAGAGGTGGCTGTGTGAGAGCGAATACTGCCTCCAGAACATGGAAGATGTGCTTCTTTGGTAGCTTTTGTTTCTTGATTCTGATTAAATAAGAAGTTTATATTAAATATAGAGTTGTTCTCTTTAAATTATCATTTTTGTTTTGTTTCGATTTACTAAAAGCTTTTGATTTGAGGACGGTCTGGAGCTCCCTAGTTGGGATGCTGCCCCCGCGACCCGGACCAGGATAAGCGGAAGAAGACGACGATGACTTTTGATTTACAAAAACAAAGATCCGTACACAGCCAGAAATGTTTAGTCTCTGTCCTGTCTGACTCACAATCAGTCCACAGATACGTGTTTTCCTTTTTCCTTAAGTCACAGAACTCCTCGCATGTGAAAGAACAAAAGATGACCGAGGGCAATCCATTCAAATCCATACAATAAGTCCCCGTGTCCGTGTAAACAATAGCTCAGAAGCTCCTCTGACTCGGACAACAACGATCAGTGAAGTTTTTAATCTGACTAAAGCTGCAGATTATTGACTGATACCACACACACACACACACACACACACACACACACTCAGGGGAAAACAGCAAAACAAGAGAATGGACACATGGAGCTTATTGTTTTCCAATGAACCTGCACACTTAGAAACACACAGGGTGTCAATAGTCCCAACACCAAACAATCACCCTCAGACTTCAGATCACATCGCCTTTTCACCTCCAATCAATACACACACACACACACACGCACACACACACACACACACACACACACACACAGACCGATAGTTGAGTGTCTGATGGCTTCCTGCACCCACTGACCACTCGACATGCTAACATGTGCTCACACAAACATTATGCAGATGTTGCTGGTCTCACTTTAGGGGATTAGGGACAGAAGGAGTGAGAAGCTGGTCTTAATGGATGCCCAAACACACACACACACACACAGACAGCTCAGCAGTCTGTCTGGCTAGTGAGTGACATTTTAGATTCCTCAGTCTCATCCAGCAATTGCACCCCTTCCCCGTACTCATTGTATATGTGTGTGTGTGTGTGTGTGTGTGTGTGTGTGTGTGTGTGTGTGTGTGTGTGTGTGTGTGTGTGTGTGTGTGTGTGTGTGTGTGTGTGTGTGTGTGTGTGTGTGTGTGTGTGTGTGTGTGTGTGTGCGTGCTCCTCCAGCCGCACCAGGGGGCTCTCTGCTGTCATTTCCTGTTTGTTGACATGCATGTCGTTGTGGCGATGCTCTGGGCCTGCTCCACAGTGCCGCTGCCCTCTCTACTGTGTCTGTTAGTGAATGTGCATGCATGTGCGGTGTGTGTGTGTGTGCGTGCGTGCGTGCGTGCGTGCATGTGTGTGCGTGAATACTCGCTGGCCTATTGAGCAGGATTTGAGTGACACGGCCTGGCCTTGTAATGGAACTCAATTCAGTCCGCAAATAAAGAGGCCTTTGAACCACTGGTCAGAATATGGCAGCACACACACACACGCACACACACAAGTGAGGATGCAAAAATGTGTACACACACCGCCTGTGGTGGACTGGCTGGAGGGGGTTGGCTAGTGGAAAGGGGAGTTCATGCTTGACTGCATCCCACCACCCACCCTCACCCCCACCCCCTGCCCATCTCTCCTCCACCTCCTCTTCAGGAGCTACAGAGCAGCTAATTGAAGAGAAATGAATAAGGAACAGCTGATCTGAGCTGATATAGCTGTTCATCTGGTCTTGATCCATCTCCTGCTGGCTTAAAGAACAGCAGTCTGGTGCTGATAAGTCTCTGCTGTCGGCTGCATGACAAACCGCAGCTTTTCACAGGACTGAGACTGTTGGAGATGACTCAAGAGGGAGTTTCCAAACTGTCTCAAAAGAGTTTCCTCACGAGTTGCAGAGCCTTGTTCTTGTTGCGACCAAACCCAGAGTAACCCAGGAACCGTCCTACGTACAAAAGATTTTCTTTAGTTCTTTTCATTTTAGTTTCTCTAACTCCGAAAGAAAGAAGAGACAAATCTGGGAGGAGTGAACGACCTAATCTAAATCAGAACTTTTGCCAAAAAAATCTTAAAGACGTAAAACTAGCAGGGTCACTGGGGAAGTTAATATAAGCGCGGACAGGAAGACGTGAGTGATGCTCAAGCGGAAATTCTTCCCAAAACTAAGTCGTTGCTTAAGTTTGTCTGCCACCAGTTTTGTGTCATTTTGCACAAAAAAAGAGATGAATGTCATTATTTTAGTTAAGATAGCAGGAGGTGATGTGGCTGTTGACAGAGATAAAGCGAGGCCCAAACAGACAGAGAGCAAGATGGAGAGAACGAGAGAAATAGCAGTGACAGCATCTCTTACTTGTCCATTTGCATAAACCGGCCTTTGTTTGACGCCGGTGGCCAGCAGCCAAACTCCCAACAGAAGGACAGAAGTTAAACTCAAAAAAAAAAAAAAGAAATGGTCCTCATCCAGAAAATTATTCTGCCAGAAATAAATAATAATTATAACTATTCAAAAAAGAAAAAAGAAAACACATCAGTTATTTCTCACTGAACCAGCCATTCTGTTGCTCTTCAGAAGAGGGAATAACAATTCAGAGAAACACAAAACAGCATCTTGCAGATTTGTATTAGCTGACATGAAAGTAATTGAGCTTTGCAGGATGATTCTGAAAGAAGTGTTTAGAAATACCGCAGCTCTGTCCAAGTTGTAGGCATTATTGTGTGTCTGTTGCACAAATATACCAGGGTATAGTCACAGCACAGCAGCTTGCACCATAATGCTTTAATTTAATTGGAAACTAATTAAATACATAAATAACACACAAAAAGAGGGAGCTTTTTTGTTTCCCTACAGCAGTTTTTGAATTGATTTATCTTTATTTTGGACTATTTTACTGGGTTTTTGTGCATTTTTGGCCCATTATTACTGTAATGAAAAAAAAACATCACTAAGCCAAAAGACACCTCTGGCTAATCCTGGTTGGTGGATTTTCACAAATCTCCCCTCTTTGCTCCTCCATCATCACTTTTCTTCACCTTCAGCCAAAGCCGGGCTCTCCAGTGCGACCTCGATAGCCGGAATGTTTGCCTTTCTCCCACGATGCACCTGGAGGGGACATGGCCGTCTCTGGGCCTGTCAGAGAAGCTGTTAGCGTGTCTCCCAGGGGGTGAGGGAGTGGGGGGGGGGTGACAGTAGAAATGTCCCTCTGTCACACAAACAGAGCCCAGGCCACTAATGGCCTCTTCCTCTAGGGCTTTTCAGCTCTTTTTTTTTTCATGCTCTCAAGTATTCATTTATTCATTCATGTCATCCTTTTCTTCTCCTTTTATTCTCTTTTACCCTCACTTTCTCTCCCCCCTCCCTGTCTCTCTGACCCAGCAGCAGTTGTACGCAGCTCAGCTGGCGGCCATGCAGGTTTCCCCAGGAGCCAAGCAGCATGGAGGCAGCCTTCCACCCCAAGCTAACCTGGGCACACACTCCCCACCCACCAACACACACCCACAGAGCGACAAGGGCCGCAGCCCCCCACCCACAAACAAAACCAAGGTAAAGAGAAATAAAGCATGCAGGGCCCGTGTCTGTGTTTGTGCCTCTGCATGCTTCTACGTTCAGAAAAGGCTGCTACAGTAGATTTATGTTTCCTTTTTTTGTGGCAACACATCTTTTTTTTTAGAATTCTTGATGAAAGTTCATCTCTGAAAACATTTTTGATAATGTCCACATAGCAGTTTGAAATTCTTCCTGTTTCTAAGGGAAAATACAAGTTTTTGGACTCTTCTAAAGGCAAAATTTACTTTTGCTGCCTAATTCTGTCTCAGTGTCCGACTGAACGTTTTAAATATCACAGACGAACGTGAATGACCGCCTGTGTTTCTGAGCAGAATGTGCTTAATTGAGTTTGGCACCATACCTCAGTGTGTTTTTTGGTGTGTGTGTTTTTTTTCCCGTCTCAATCAAACAAGTGCTTCGAGCAGCAAACCGCTTCTCACACAAACGCTCACCTGGATAAAACTTGTTACCTTGCAGAAGTTACTTCCCGCCTTAAATCGAACAAGTCCAACTTTATCTCAGAACTCCAGCTGGTGTCTGCTCGTGGCCGATTTGCTGATCTGTTGGCGGTTTTGTCGTTTTTCTGCTCGATGGGGGAGATGGGAAGAAGCCTTGTGTCCATCCAGGTGGAATTCTATGAATACTTCGTTGGCTTTTGTCCACCCCGACCGCCTCACGCTCTAAACTACAAACACACCCATGATTCCTGCCATGCGGTGACGGTATTCACACAAGATGTGGCCAATCAGAACTAAACGCACACAAGAACATTTTTCACTCTTGACCCTAAAAAAAGAGACTTTCCAGTTTCTTTTATTTTGCTCTTATTTCCATTCCTCCCCGTTCTACTCTACCAGTGAAAAGTCGGACATGACCCCTGAGTTTGTACCTTTGCAACCTTTTCTGTCAGCTCCTCCCAACATCTCCATCACACACACCGTACCATCATGCCCTGCTGTCACACACATCCTATTTCCATATATATGGAGTTCTGCTGACAGGCAAGTGCCACGGCCTGTGGTGGAAGGACAGAGGGGAGTCATAATGGCCTCCTCCGTCCAGCAGGAAGTGGCTGACTCGGGAGTGGACCAACGTGGACCCTGACCGTCCCCATGGGGCCCAAATGGCAGCTCAACTGGAGAGCCATTGACGTCCATAAAACTTTTGAAGACATCCTTGATGCTCAGACTGACCACTGAAGCGCTCTCGCTCATTCCGACCAAACTATCCCTCTCTCTCTCTCTGGTGGAGACACATGTATATTTCAGTGGTGTGCTCCCCATGTGGGCTCTATCTCAGGTCTCCAGTCATTTAGAAACACAGCGCCCGGCTCCGCTCACAGCTGTTTGGACTCAGGCACACACAGCTTAAGTGCTTTACCCTCGGGTGAGACACGGACGCATACGCACACTCGAAAATGCACACACATACACAGGTTAAAACACCAGCACACACAGACACACTCAAATCACTGCAGATTTCTTGTATGCAAGAGTGGATCATCAGATGTAAGCAGGCATGCATGCAAACCAGAATTCTGCAGCACACGCATCACGGCCACACGGCAGCTGAAAGTTATTTCACATTTTATAATTAGTTAGGAATCTGAATTTGTCTTTTTAGATTAGTATTCAGTCAAACTGCCGAGCAGCATCAATCCCAACATCTGGAAGATAATGGCAATATGCTGTCACACACACACACACACACACACACACACACACGCTTCTGCCAGCAGATTTTTTCTCTTTTATTAATTTCCAGCCTAGACTTTTGTAACAGGCTGTTATGACTGTTTAAATATGGCCAGGCATTTATAGAAGGTGCTGATGAGTTTCAGTTATGTAGCCTTAAACTTCTCAAAACAAGAAAGTTTACACACACCATACACACACACACACACACACACACACACACACACACACACAAATCAAATCGTTTATTCTTTTGATCAAGAATTAACTATAACAGTGGCTTAAAAGTGGCTTTTGCAGTCATATGTACCTCAGTTTCTCACTATTGGTGACTAGTTTGACAGTAAATTAAAAAAGAAAATGTAAAATATCAGCTGGAGTCCCACTGAGTTGGAACGTAGAAGAGTTATTCTTTTTTTTTTTTTGACCGTTGAAGCTTTCTTCTAAATATATGGGGTTTAAGGTATTACTATATGCCTAGACTGATGGTGATGTCATATTACTGCACGTAATTTTGGGCATTTAAGGTTTTATAAGAAATTTCCACCACAAAAATGTAAAAGGACTGTCAAGAAAAATTCCCCAGTGGAAGCATATGTAAAGTAAAGAGAATTGGTCCGAGCACCACACCATGAGGAACTCCATAAGTAGCCCTAGTGGATCAGAGTGGTTCATCAATAACATCAATATTCTGGACACTTTTATTTTTTTACATAAAAGGGGTTTTATTCCTGAGGGAAACGATCAATAATTACTTCTATCTCAGCACAAAATAGATGAATGTGTGTTGAATCTGACTCAAATACTGGTGTCATATCTGCCAGCTGAGTGTCTGCTTATCTAATAGAAAGTCTGATATGATATCATAGCTAATTGTCCCTTTTAGCTGGGAGGAAAGGATAAGTGGAGGAGGCACTAAAGGAAGAAACTGTCCATCTCAGGGTCCTGACATGACTACACCTCCACACAGGCTTGCGTGGACCTGACGGGGACGAACCGCCAAAGCTTGCCCGTCGTTTTAATTGAACCGTCAGCTCCCGTGATAAGATGCAGAGCGCTGATGTCACTCGCACATGTCGGCGACGGCAGAAGTGAAACGCAGCCCACACAGGCATTATCTCTCCCCCTTCTGCTTCCTCTCCATCTCTCCATATCCCTTTGGCTCTCGCTGTCACTCTGCGTGTTTTCTGTCTCAAAGCTGGAGACTGTTTCATCAGCCAAGAGAGACACAAAAGCAATTGTATTAATTCAAGATTCCAAGCCTTTGAGAGGCTTTAGAGTTCCCTTTCTGTCTCTCTCTCTCTCTCTCTCTCTCTCTCTCTCTCTCTCTCTCTTTCTCACACACAGACATTTTCATAAGATTTAGAGCTCGTTGAACAATCACACACACACACACACACACACACACACACACACACATAAGCAAGTCTGTCCAAGCATCTCAGCTCTACTCTCTAAACTAATTCCTCTACACTGGCATAATGCAGGTTGGCCACCTTCCCACTGCAGGATTTGGCTCGGCGCAAAGAGGAAACTCCCCCCCATCCACTGTACAAGAGGCAGAGGCATTATCTATTTGTAATAAATATTCAAACGCCTTTACAGCCAAAGCCCACCATAATATGGGTCAGGATTGAGAAGATCTCGCTCGGTTTTTGCTCCTTTTCTCTTCTCTTCTTTTTCGGCGCATTGTCTAGCCGAAGGCATCTTTGGGGGTCCTCGTCTATTAAGAAAGACCCCCTTAATGAAGGACAATCCGTTTAGGCCTCCCTGCACATGCATGTGCGCACGCACTAACCGAAGATGGCTCACGTGCACAAACATGCAAGGGCATACACACACAAAAGGACTTAATTGGAAGGGCTTAATTGAGTTGTGAGGGGCTCGTAAGGCTTAGCGAGACTCAGGGAAAGTCGGCCTTAATGAGTGAATATACCACACACACACACACACACACACACACACACACACACACACACACACACACACACACACACACACACACACACACACACACACACACACACAGAGAGAGACAATACTTTAGCTCCTTTTGAATCCTACTATATGGCGGTTACTATACCGCCTAAGCAGCAATTAGGCTAATGACCAGAAAATAAAGCCAAATAACGTCTCTATTCTATCATCTTATTAGGTTTTCAATTTTGCCAGCAATGCTCAAAGTTCTCCTTCGTTATGCTGAATGACAAATGCATCTGAAGCAACAAAGTGTATTTCTAAATCACAATTTCAACACTATTGTTGTGCGTCTTTAACTTCCTCTAACATTACCCCTTTCCCAATCCTGCATTCCTTTTAATTGTTGAGTTTTAATTACACAGAGTAGTTTCTGTACATCTGCTCCCACTCTGATCTAATTCCTCCCTTCCTGCCATGTGATCGTCCAAGGTTGCCCCTGATTGGATTAGGTCATCAGCAGGGGTGACGTTGCCATGACAGTTTACAAAATAATGTGTGTGGTGGGCCACATGAAGACCAATAGATATAAGTGCTGCTAACTCAACTGGAGAAGAGTGCTTCAGCAGGAGTTGTATTGATTGTGTACAGATGTTGGGAGTGTGTGTGGATTTGTTTCCTGCTGTTCTCCACACACACTCGGATGTTCACGTAGTTCCCTTGTTTCTGATGGACTCAGAGCAGTTTGAAGTGACAGACTGTCCTCTGTTGCGCTCACTCTTTGATACACTGAGACATGACTTGAACGGGGCGTTCTCTGTAGTTTTGAGGACGAAAGTGTTTTGCTTGCATGTTTACTGGAGCCTGCATGTGGAGTGTGCACGTGCACATGCATGTGCATGACTGTTGCAGGAGGGCCATTATTCTGCATGTGATTGTCAGAGATTTGCACCGAAACGTGTTGAAGTTTGTTACCTGATGCTTTCTGAGCTGTTTTCAGACAGGCAGTGGCATGCACCCTGTCACTTTGTCATCCTGCCAGGCTTGCCTCAGATTGCTGTGCATGGACTTCCGTTTGATTAGTACTTGGTCAGGGAGTGGCAAGGGTGTCCCCCCTGCCTCCCGCCTCCAAATTCCTACGGTGGTCACAGCGGGCGAAACTGTGCTGTTTTGGTTTTTGCAGGACAGTGAGGGTGCACAGCCACTGAACCTATCGGCCAAGCCTAAGGCATCCGAGAGCAAGTCACCCAACTCCCCCCCAACTTCCCCACAGGTTCCCGCTGCTGCTGCTGCCACCAAGCTGGGCCCCACTGGCTCCATGAAGCACAGCGCCGTGCCCTCAAGCGTTGGAGGACCACCAGCCAGAGTCAGCTCAATAGGTAAGCGAGTTTAGGTTGCACATGTGCTCCAGGAAACCTGGCGTCTGCTCTTTGGGTTAAGTTTCTCACAGATCCGGCTTAGAGCACTTACCTAAACTTTTTAAGGCAAAAATAATACACACACTCTTCAGAAAAAAAGACAGATTTAACTATTAACTTATATTATTGTTGAAAGCTAAGCGCTCATTTAGCTGAGATTACATCCTTAATATGTCAGAGACTCATGAAGATGTCGTCATCTCATTGCTATCGACTGATACCCGCTTCAAAATGAAATGTCTTCGAAAATCTCAAAAGGCATCCAGTTCAAAACCCGCCTTCAGAGAGAAGACGGTGACCGTTGGATGAGCTCCACAGTCTCAGTGTTAAAAAGTTACTCCCAGATAAACATAGTTTTTATGCAAATTAAGAAGTTTTGTTCATTTTAATAAGTGTCGAATTTATAATATAGCAGCTCCTCTAAAGTACACACGATCTTTTTTGGCACTGGCAATTGGTCTGAAAAGTTTAAATATTTACATATCAGATGTTGGCAAAAAACGTAAAAGTCGTGCATTTCTAATTATAACATTCCCACTCATTTAATTTATTAAATACATTCAGTTTTTGGCCAAGTTGAGAACTGCAAAAGTAAAACTAAATAATAATGTTTATTACTTCTACAGCCTAATGTACTTTTCCTAACAAGAGTTTGCATATTGTTCTCATAAAGACAATTAGCGTCTTCAAGGAAACATTAACAGTCCTGCTGGTAGTAGCTTTGACAAGAATAGTGTTTTGCTCACGTTGGTGCTGCTGTTGCGTGTGCCAGATCCATAATCGTACCCAGCCATATGCACACATACAGAAAACATGACATAAATGAATCACTATTTTGTACTCCTTAATCCATTTTTCATGCATCGCTGATAGTTCAAATATTACACATATGTAACAGGCTATAATTAGTGTGTTTGTGTCTTTTTTCCTCCGTGCAGCTATTTGCCTGCGGGCTGCTTCATTGTTATGTGTTTATTAGTGACTGAAAGAGACAGAGAGAGACATAGGACTGAGGATAGAAGGGAAGAGGAGAGAGGGATGAGGATTAGCACCTTTTTTAATTTTTTTTTCTTCCAAGAGCAACGAAGCAGGGGAATAATAAAGAGAGGGGTGCATGACAGACAGGAGGTATCACCAATGAGATTAGACAAGCCTCTTACATGAGCCAGGACAGCGCAAACACTCAGCATTAATGACACAATGACAGCACACACACTCAAACACTCACTCAAAACGCACACAAAAGCACACACACACACAATCCCACCTCCTCCTCCTCCTCCTATGCAATAGGCAGTTAGTCATTTTTTCCCTGACTTCCTGGCTAATCTCACTGTTTTTCAACAAATCGGCGGATTTAATATCAGATTAGTGGATTTTCAGTCCCAGATGTTTTTTGTTCAGAAAAATGGATTACAGTGTTTTAAGTTTGTGTGTGATCCTCACTGAATTATTTGTGTGTGGAGACCAATGTGTGTGTGTGTGTGTATCTCTGATACTCTGGAAGCTAACAGGCCCATCTGTTGCCACGGAGTTTTAGCCGGTCACTCGGTATTACAGAATCCCATCGTATTAGGGTTCATGTTACAAGTTCAGAGTGGATTGTGGGGCCAGACAAATTGGAAATCAGGTCCAAAGGTGGTTGTTTTGATTTGGAATCTGTGCGTCGGGGGTGGGGGTGGGGGGGGAGGTGTTATGATGCAGAATATGAATGTTTTTTTTTAGATACACATTTTCTTCTGCTTTTTTTATGAGACAAACTTGAGTACTTACCTCTTGTTAATTTTAGTTTCAGATGTTTTGGGAAAATACTGTTAACGTCTATGTCAAACCAGTTTTCCATTTCGTAAGTCCTATGTAGAGCTGTGCAATTACTCGCAATTGTATTTTAAATTAAGCTTTAATGCGACTGACAAACATGATCATTTAACTTATATTGTCATGTTTTATGTTTTCAAGGCTTAACTTGTGAGTTTTGTGGCATTAGCATGTAAATGGCAGAACGAAGGCAAAACACAGGCAGCACATGTCAACAAATTTTCATTTTCTTCATCAGTTAGGACCACCACACACTCTGTGTTGCAGTGTCCAACAACATTTTTTCATACAACTTTATTTTTAAGCAACACCCCTACCTGAAACGCAAATTTTATTCTCACCGTTTGGACTTCCAGGTTAGCATAGCAGCACTTCTCTGGCTTTATAGCAATGCTGTCTTCTCCGTGATGTAATAATCTAGTTGGTAAGTTAGCGTTCACTTGTTTTAAACCAACACATTCTCACACCAAAAGCATCGAAAATTGATGATGGGTGACCAAGCATTTGTTTCCACTGGGAGACCTAATGCGTCGGGAGGCGAGGGCCAGTGCCGGAGCATTGGTGTCCAATGCCTGCAGTAAAACGCACATTTCACCGACCTGTAACGTCTTGCTATTTAACCTTCCCCTCACCCACATCCTAACCTTAACCCAGTTTCTCATTCTAAACTTCCCGTTAACCGTGTTGGAGAGGGACGTTACAACAACAAGTTTTGCATTTGCAAAAGAGTAAAGGTCAGAATTCGGTGAAATCTTTGTTTGCCCGCGGCAGTCGAAAAACGACACTCTGGCACAGTGTGTCGCCTCCCGACGCTTTGCCGCCCATCGTCGGTTTTGGATGCTTTGGGTGTGAGAATGTGTTGGTTTAAACCAGCATCACTGGCTTTAGCTAGATACGTAGTTTTAATCTCCACTAAACACCAAAACTCTGCCACCTGCCGACATAAATCGTTTCCTTAAATCTTCTAAATCATCATGGGCAGCAGTAGCTCAGGAGGTAGACTGGGTTGTCCAGTAATTGTCAGGTTGTTGGTTCAATCTTGGCTCCCACCAGAGAATGCTGCTGCAGTGTCCTTGAGCAAGACCCGCCTTGCCTGCTGGTGGTGGTCAGAAAGACCAGTGGCAGCAGTGCTTGGCAGTCTCACTTTAGTGCGCCCCAGGGCAGCTGTGGCTACATCGTAGCTCATCACCACCAGCGTGTGAATGGGTGAATGACTGATTGTATTGTGAAGAGCCTTGGGGTGTTGTGGAACCCTAACAATGTGCTACACAAATACAGGCCATTCACCATTTATGACTTCTGCACTGACAAAAAAAAATCACCATCATGATTATTTTGTCCTAAATGAAGCGCCGCTAATGCTAATGGTATCTCCCTAACTCTAAATCCAAATATCCACCCAGATGTTGGAGGTACGTGTCCACCTTCTGGTCTTTGAGGACTCCTCTCCACCTAGAGGCACTGTCCTCTCTCACACACATTTTCCATCCATCCATCTACTCGTCTCAGAGCAAAGTGAAGGGCTGTCACCGCATGTAACTTCTACCACAATCACACGCTTGTCTTTGTCCTCCAAGCTCTCTGCCCTGATAAAAATGTATTAGTCTGAGGAAGAAAGCGAGCAAAACGCCCAAAACCTCCCCCTCCACCTATCTAGGTCACATCCACTCATCTGGATGGTTGTCGATGCTGTCAGTTTAAGCAATCACAATCATGCATGTGCTGCAGTTCCTATCACCTCCACCCCCCACCCACTCTTCCGCCTCTGACTGCAGATTAGAACTGACTCCCACCCGATTCTGTCACCCTCTCACTCTCAACTCTCCACACCATTTTTTTTTTCTTTTTCATTTGAACCAACATCCAGATTTTCTGGTTATGACTTCTGAAAGAGTTCACGGCTCTGTCATTATCACTCTAAGGCTGGTAATCTGGCCTGAGATGGCATTAGCGGCACGGATTAGCGCAGATGGAGGCCTCATAAAGCAGCAGTGACTCTTTGTGAAGAACTAAGTGATGGAGAGAGGAGATAGCGCTGCACTCAGACTCACACACAGTCAGAGGCATGAGTGTTTTGTGGGTCTTCAGAAGGGAAGGGTTGTGTGTGAGCTGTGTAAATGGCTGACGGAAGGTAGAGGGTTGAAGGATGACCTAGCAAGGAGGCTAGCCACCGGCATACTCTGACTCACCTTCCAACATCGCCAGCTAAGTGGTCAGTGTGTGAGTCTGAGAGACAAAAACACACAAATGCCCCTGCGACGTCCCCTCATCGACTGTATGCTAATATCTTTAGCTCACGGTTCAGAAGAGGATTTATTCTGGGTGAAAACCTCCTTCCTGCTTCTCTAAAATAAACACATGCATCATCCTAACTTGTTCATAAATGAGTGTTTTGCTTGCAGGAAATAATGCCGAAGTGGCTGACTTTGTCTCCTTTTGTCTGCGTTTCAGCAGACTTGTTGTCCTCGCTATCATCAACAGCCTACCTGAACGACCACGAGGCGGTGAGCAAGGCCTTTGCTGAGGCCCGGCAGATGAAGGAGCAGCTGAAGGGGGAACAGCAGGCCCTGGACGCCAAGTTGGCCTCCGTTAGCAACCTCAGCCTCAACAATGGCCGCTCAGACAAGGTAACCTTTGTTTTATCATTTCATGCTTAGGCAACCCCTGCCCCGAAAGTGCCACCGTTAGATCCTCCAAGTCATTTCTTTAGATTGAAATGTCTTTGAGCCTACACCTGCCTAAACGTATTCACGCTGTGTTTATAAATACATTTTTGAGATCATTTAAAATCCTCCTCCTGGTATAATAGTAATTGTCTTACATTTATCTTATTTTTTTCAAACGATTTGCACTCACCAGTTACATGGAGCTCCCTGTGAATGAATACAAATTAGCGTCTTTTATCTCAGCCTGTGATTTCTGAGAGCTAAACGCACAAATCCTCCCAAGTCTCCAAAGTCCTCTCAAGCTGTACCGTCTCATTGTCAGCATGTAATAATTTGTCTTGCCATATGCCATCGCTGCCGCACCATGTAGGAGGTAAATCGGTGCACAATGCACTCGCTGAAATGTGTTAGAGCTAAACAGGGCCAGATAAGGTAAAACCAGAGGCATCTCCGAGGTAATGAGTGTGTCTGTAAGGCACACTGTGGGGCTCTGTGTGTGTGTGTGTGTGTGTGTGTGTGTGTGTGTGTGTGTGTGTGTGTGTGTGTGTGTGTGTGTGTGTGTGTGTGTGTGTGTGTGTGTGTGTGTGTGTGTGTGTGTGTGTGGCAGAGCGGAGCATCAAGGAGATGCTAATTTGAAATGACGGCGCCAGCTCCTCAGCAGCATCGCTAAACTGTGGTTATTTGTTAAACACATTTAGAGTCGGATGGTGCGACACGCGCACAAAACACACACACACACACACACACACACACATTATTTAACACAATTCAAACCACAAGGCGTTACCCTTTACCTTTTAGAAAAAGTGAAGAAGATGTTTTAAATTTAAAAAATAAATAATTTTAAATTTTGTGAAAATAAATAGAAAGAAATTATAAGTCTTTTTTTTCTAGACCAAGTTAAAACAAGTTAAGTAATCCCATAAAATAAAATCACACAATTACAACATTTAAATTCTTCCTCACTTTTATTATTATTATTATTATTATTATTATTATTATTACTATTATTATTATTATTTTTGTTGTTTTTGTTGTTGTCTCACATCATATTAAAATGGTTTATGCCCTGAATGAAAACAAACAACAAAAACCATTTTTACGATCTATTTTTATAATTTTATGAATAAGTAGTTTTTTTATTGCGGTTAGAGTGATTTTTAAATCAGAAAACACATTTATTTTAATAAAATCAAAATATGTTTATTTATGCTTGTCATGTTGCACTGATATGATTTAACTTTTAAACTTGATCAAACAAAATTTTTTTTTTTACTCTTTTTTTCCTCTTCTGAAGCCGTACTTACGCCAACTCTTTTTTTGGGTGGGCTTTGTGGTGAGCGAGTGTGAAGCCGGTGTGCTCGCTGCGTTGGAATACAACAGTGTCGTCTCTGACACACTCGCAGGATTAATTTTGTCACTACTTTGTGTCTTGGCTCCAGTGTCAGCCATTCAATCCACTTTTCTCATGTACTGTACCGGGGCTTAATGTCAGACTAGGCTGTCATCCACTCAGTCTCCCTGTTCATCTGTACCTCTCTCTCTCACACACACACACACACACACACACACACACACACACCAAGCCATGTGAAAGAACATATTTAATCTTGAAATCTGAAAGTCGGCGGGACATTTTGTGCTCCTTTTCTGTAGCGCAGCCTAAACAAGGCTGTGATTGGAGCAAATACGAGATATAATGCATTCAGATTTACATTCAAAATCACTCAATAACTCACTGAACATTATTATGCATTTACAAAAAGCATCACAAATGACTAAATAAAATACTTTTGAAATGGTTTGCAAAGGAGATCTAGAGCTGCTTTTATTCTTCCTCTTCCAGCTGTGTTTATTTATTTCTATCTGATGGGGGAAATTATCTCTAACAATTTAACTCTATTGGGCTAAAAACAGACAAAGTGCTCTTCATTATCATTCTGCCCTCCTTCCATCCAGCCGCCCTGCTCGCTGGGGTCACATGAAAATGGAGGAGGACACTTTTGGAAGCTCGTTTTAGAAGACGACAATGTTTTGAGCTCCTAATCGTGTAATTAAACTGTAAAATGTTGGCGCCGGTGCAGCGCAGTGTGTGTGTGTGTGTGTGTGTGTGTGTGTGTGTGTGTGTGTGTGTGTCCCCACAGTCAAGCTCCAGCGTAGAGTGTGCCGGCTGCTTGCATTAGGCATGTAAATGCTCAGTAAATCAGCCTTTTATTGGTTGTAATAAATACCCAGGGGGCCGTGCGGCGTGGCCTCGCTCTCGTCCGCACTGCGCTCTCTAGCGCGCTCCCTCTCTTTAATGCGTCGACCCTCGAGGGCCTCTGCGAGAGAGAGAGGCAAGCCACCGCTCTACGCTCTTGCAGGTGGCTGCCAGGAGTCGCTGATCGCACACACACACACACACACACACTCACACGTTTCACATTTCATTTGCATTACACTCACATCACAGTAAACCTCCAAAACAGAATAAAATCAACATTTCATGTTAACACTCACAGATGTGTGCTCAAGGGTGCAGACAGACACACTTGACATTTTCTTGAGTCATACAATCTCACACGTTCATTAAAAATCTATTTCAGCTCAAATTAAAACAGATTCCTTCACACGTATTAGCTTTGATATCATAACTTTAATATCATTTGTATTTCCTCTGAGAATCAGAAAGACAAACGGTGAAGGAAAGGTTTTTCTAGAGATGAACGGAAGATGTTCTTCGTCACTGCAGCTTCGTGGTTTCGTTCATTCACGTATTCCCAGCGTGTGACTCGGTCAGTGACCGCCTGCGACTGTGAACTGTTTGTGTTGTTTAGGACAAAGCCGCCTTGGAGAGTTTGAGTCAGCAGCTGAAACAGCAGGCCGAGGACAAGTTCAGCCACGCCATGCTGGACTTCACCATGAGTGGAGACTCTGACGGTAGGAGACACACAGAACCACATCAGGGATGTCCAGATCAAGATGTTTTGTCTTTGATACAAATGAGTCACTTACGTACCTGCCAATGCCAAATCTCAGTCTGAAACTTGCCAGAGTTGGTGCTTTTGTTTGTTTTTGCACAGACTTGCAGACTAAACACCATAACTGTATTAAAGGTATTAAAGTCAGTGCTCATCTGTTCATGTAAAGGATCACTCAGCGAGGAGACAGTTTACACCCAAAGATCCCAGCATTTGTCTCTTCATTCATTTGGGAACAACACTTAGACATTCAGCAGCTGGTGTTCTAAAAGAGCTGATGATGCTTGTGAACTGCATTTTAAATGGTGAATGAATTAAATGGAGCACACACTTGTGAAGGTAGCTCTATGCAAAGTAAAAGTGAAACAAACTCAGAGATTTCTTGATCCTATCATTGGTTTATTGGTAGCTGTTGGTCCCCCCCCCCCCCCTCCCCCCCCCACACACACACACACCTCCTGCCCCTGACTAAGTCGTTCTTTCTTCCAGTGGAGCAAACCGCTGAAGCTCTCTCACTTGACTGTCACAGCGATTTTTAGAAAGTTAGGGGAAATGATGCGACACTTGAAATCAGATCAGGGAAATCCCTTGTTTCAGTGCCTGGGCGACAAATGAAGCACAGTTCTAACATGCGTCTTCTTCCTCAGGATCACCCAGCGTTTCAGACTCCAGAATATTCCGAGAAGCTCGAGGTCGAAGCAGCAATGAGCCGCACATCAAACGGCCGATGAACGCCTTCATGGTTTGGGCCAAAGACGAAAGGCGGAAGATTCTCCAGGCCTTCCCAGACATGCACAACTCCAACATCAGCAAGATCCTTGGTAAGGCACACACACACACACACAGACTAAGGGATTTCCTTACAACGGTGCATCGTGTAAGCGAGCGTTAATGAAAGGCTGGGGAGAGTACAGCTCCGACAAATGATGATATAATTCATTATGCATTAAACAAGCAGCTCAAGGCTCCCTGACATTTCCCCCAGACCGCCGGGATCGGCCCTGACATTTTAAAGAGCTCCTAAGCGTTTTATAACACAGGGAAATCTGGTTTTAATAAGCCGCCTCTCTCTCGATTGCTAACAGATCGCAGAACACAGAGAGCGAGGGGGAGAGACGGAGGCAGAGAGCAGCCAAGCGCTGACAGCTTTTACACATTAAACATACAGTAGTCAAGTGCAAATTCAGACCAGATATTACGCACGCGCGCACACACACACACACACACACACACACAGGCATGGAGGGAAGACATGAGTAAAATTACACCCCCAAACACACATGCAGGGGACTGATAGAGCAGATCTGTGAGCAGCGACTGAGCTGAGATATGACAGCAGGTTAAGTGAAGTCCTCATTAGTTGAGATGAGTACCTGTCGTCCCAGCGGTGCTCCTCATTAACCCTCTTTTGCTCTTTTTTGCATTCTCTTACCAGGCGCCACTTCCAGCATTACACTGTGTGCGTGTGTGTGTGCGTGCGTGCTTGCATGTGTGTGTGTGTGAAAGCGTTGGTTAAGCATGTCAGTTTTAATGCGAGGCTTCAAAGAGACGTCTTATCTTCCATGAAACTGATGAGTGTGCTTGTTGCTCTTCTAACTAGTCATGATAACCTCCTTTATGTGCAGGATCAAGGTGGAAAGCCATGACCAACCTGGAGAAGCAGCCATACTACGAGGAGCAGGCTCGCCTCAGCAAGCAGCACCTGGAGAAATACCCCGACTACAAGTACAAGCCGCGGCCCAAACGCACCTGCCTGGTGGACGGAAAGAAGCTGCGCATCGGCGAGTACAAGGCTATCATGAGATCCCGCAGGCAGGAGATGAGACAGTACTTCAGTGTAGGGTGAGGCAGGTTGATTTGACGCTCCAAACTGCCAGTCTGGAGCCTTCTGAGGCCTGGTTCACTCAACAAAACATGAGAGACCCATTGTGGGAAGAAAAAAATCCAAATCCATTCACCAACATTGCCAGGACAAAACCTCTGGGATCAAACGTGACGTCATAGTAAATAAACTTGCTCTGCGCAGCAGGCTTTCTGATGGTCTATAAGTCACATTAAACAGGCAGCCCACTCGTTTGTTCTTGGGACATTCAACAAATATGATATTGGATAAAGACAATCCAACATGTTTATTACCCCCAATTAAAAGTCCTAAGCAGATCAGAGCAATCGTAACACACCACACACGGCAAGAATAACTGATGAGATTATCTTTAGTCATTACAACAATCGGAGGTATTCTTAAGACTGTCTAACGGGGAGAATCGGAGCAGAAATCAACATAATTGTATTGCCGTGTGAATCAGGCCTTAGGGGGTTACAGCAACAACATTAGAAGTTTTGAGATCATTCAAATATAACAAAGCAGTAAATTATTAATGTTATTATTAAATGTTGATAACAACTTCAATATATGCCACTGACACACTTTTGCGTGTGTGTTTCCAGGCAGCAGGGCCAGCTGCCCCTCAACTCTGCAGGCATGGTCTACCCCAGCGCCCTGTCCATGGCGGGAATGCCCTCCCCCCAGATGCCCTCAGAGCACTCCAGCATGTCCAGCAGCCCCGAGCCCAACGCCAACCACCACCAGATCCCCAACATGTCTGGCCTGAAGGGCGACGAGCCAAGGATCAAGGAGGAGGAGCTGCGGCTGGACGATAGCAATGGCGATGTTTACGATGACTTTGACTACGAGGACGAAGAGGCCGATTACGCCAGCGAAAACGAGAACCACATCACCCAATAAGACGCCATTGCAAGAACTCACTTTTTAAGCCAATCATTGCTGGTATAACTCTAAAATGATCCCAAACCGTCCAATCAGGAAGAAGACTTTTTGCCAATCAGAAAACCCCAACCCTTCCTGACTAACATGGACTCGTTTTACTGAGACAACCCCCTGCCCCTGAAGTCCTGATACCAGCAAGTGATCAACCAATGAAGCACAGGACCTGTCACTCACACTGACTGTTACATACTGGAGTCGAAAGCTAACTGAGGAATATTCAAGTACTACTGCAAGAGGCTGAGTGTAAAGTGAGAAGAACTGCAGAAAAACTTACTTCTAGTCCTGTTTGCAGACAAAGGAAGAGGTTTTAAATGAGAAACTAAACAGCGGACCTGTTAAAGGCTAAAAGATGACACTTTAGGGTGGCGGACCTGTTTATTATCAAGAGACACTTTTAAGAAACAGCTTTTTTTGTTCTTTGGTTCTATAATATTCTCACTCAGGTACACGGTGCCAATAAGTGGCTTGTGAATGTGATTTGTTGTTTTTGTGCTACGAGTTTGAATAATAATAGAAAAAAGAGACTTTCCCCGTTTTTGTTGTAAAGCTCCTGATCAGACATTTATTTTTAAGAAACAAAATTCCTTTCTTCGGCCTCGCAGTGCTTTTGTTAGCACACCTCCCCTTTGAATCGCTCTCTTCTCTTTTCGTTTCGCCCCCCTGTTTGAAGTTTGATGGGATGGTCCGGGCAGAGCTGGCAGGAAAATGCTCGGACCGTCCCACTTTGAGGGGTTTTTCAGGGAGGAGGAAACGGGGAGCAACTAGACAATCCACGAGTTTTCTTCTCACTCCGACCCTCCTGTCTCTCTATCATACAGGTTCACCCGTGTGTGTGTCGGTGTGTGTTCACATTTACCAGAGGCTTGCACTTCTCTTTTTTGTAAACATGAAGCTAAAAACAAGATTCTGAAAGCAACTTGTTCTGATGCTGCTGACCAAGACGCACACGCGCACACACACACACACACACACACACACACACACACACACACACACACACACACACACAAAGAGCTATGTCTTGAAGTGTTTCCTGCTCCCTCCAATCAACGTCGTCCTGCTGTGGTGGAGCTGGATTGAAGTCAGCCAGTCAGTGTTTTTGTTTAAATACTGTATTTTACTATTTCCTCTTCAAAATCTGCCTCTAGTCTAATAATATTATTAACAATGATTAAAAGGATGGTCAGCATTTCCTAAGTTTAGTAAGTTATGTACATTATAATTTATTTTTTCTCCTCTTTATCAGGTTTTATGTGAGACAGAAACATTATTCTATTTAGCTGGTAGGTATTTAGATTTAAACAGAAGTTATTTTACTTATTTGTTTTGTCTTTTTTATGTTTTGTATTAATCCTCTGGATGGTGTTCTGGCCTGACGATGCCAGCCTTCTTCTGAGCTGATAACGCCCTTTGTTTTTAACATCCAAGCCCATTTCTACGAAGCACTCAGACTCTTTGCAGTCAAAGAAAAAGAAGAACATGATGTTTTTGTTGTTATTATAAATTTATTTGTATTATCACCATATATAATGTGAAAGTTCTCCTGTTTTTAATTCTTTCATTTCTTTGAGAAGTTTTTTTTTTTTTTTTTTTTCTGTGAACAGAGACCCCGTTTTGGCGACCTCACACAGGTCACACAGTGGAACATCTTTGACCCGGAAACTCGCATTTCCATAGAGTGTTGGGACCACTGAGAAGAACAAAGCAAGGAGGAAATATTGAGATTAAAAACATGTTAAAGGGAGGCTAGTCCGAGGAAGACGAGGAAGTGACCCTGTTGAACTCCTGACCTTGACTGTATTTGTTCTGTTGTTATTAGAGGTCGGCAAGCAGGAGACACGGTCAGCTGGTGGTCGACATGTACTGCCGATTTTTATGGGCCCATTTTCATGGCTGATTTCTAGACAAAGTCGACCTTATTTTCATTTTAAAATATCACTTATGACATCAGTTGATGCACAAAATTTCTGAAGCTGAATCAGTTTCTGAACTCTGAATTTAACCAACTGTTAAATCTTGACTTTATGCACCGCTCAGTGTTAAAGTCTAACACCTAAATAAGGTTTATTTAGAGCATTTTTATGCAGATGTTATTAGTGAACGTAAAAATACGTTTAAATTTAAGTCAGCAACGAGGATATGCCTCTCTTTAAATCGGCTTTATAAGGACAAATATCGGCTGATGCCGATGTATAAAAAACCGTAGATATCGGCCGACCGATATATCGGTCTACCCCTAACTGTTATTTTCATGACCGAGGTTCTGAGTGTGTGTGTGTGTGTGTTTTTTATTGAGTAAACTATTTAAAAGAGGTCTTTATATCAAATGAGGTGCTGTCTTTTGGGCTAACTTTTTGCTACATCCATAGTGGAGTTCAAAGAACTTCTTTCAACCTGTCAAAATAAGAGTTTGAAATAAACAAACCTCAAAAGCTTATAATTTTATTTTTGTTTTTATCGTTCTCTAGGGATATTTTCAAATAATATGCATAAGCTTTAGATCTAAAGAGGTTTGTGTTTGAGACTCTTATTGTGAAGGATTGAAGGAAGGTCTCTAGGCGTTTCTATGGAAGTAGCCAAAAGACGACGATGCCTTTCTTTTTCGGCTCTTCCCTTCAGGGTTCGCCACAGCCAATCATCTGTCTCCAAACACACCCACAACCCTAGGTTATAATAATAATGAAGCAGAAGGGTTACAGCTGGTTTCAGGAGCACTATAGCATCACTTCCTGCTACTCCTCAGACAGCCTAACGGTAGTCTCAACACGTCTTCATTCTTCTTTTCAGTAGTCCAGATGAACCGTCGTACATATCCACACAATCACTAAAAGCATGAAGAGAGATTATTGTGGCAACCAAACAAATCCTGTGCTGTTCTGTTTAAAACCATGCACATATGTTTTTGTAACATCAGTGACTTTTTTCCTAATCATGAGAACGCTGTGTGTACCGATTTCTACCAGAGCTGTTCCACTGTGTGTGTGTGTGTGTGTGTGTGTGTGTGTGTGTGTGTGTGTGTGTGTGTGTGTGTGTGTGTGTGTGTGTGTGTGTGTGTGGCCCCCACGCTTCACGCTTTGTTTTAGCTCCACACGATCCTACGTGAGCCACAACTTCTCTTTCAGGTGTGATATCAGTCTTTCTCTCTGGAAATGTTGGCTAAAAATGAGCTTGTGGGTCTTAACTGTGCTGTCGCCCCCGTTACCCCGACTGATGCTGGAGGGAGATGTGGGGCATTTAGGCATCAATCATTCCTGCTGGCAAGGTCTGTCCCCATATCAAGACAATGAAAATGATTTTATTTGAGACAATCAAAGTCACGAGTGGAGCTCAAAGCAAAGTCAGAATTATTACAAGTAAAAGTATCTTACCATCTCAACTTGAAAAATCAAGAAAGATAATTATGTAAATATAACATAGAGTTATAGATTTATATTTTGTTCATAACACAATGTAATATAAGTTGTATATTTCCTTTTTTTCCTGCTCTCCCTACTGTCTCTTTTATTGATGTTTATCCATGCCACAGAAAAGCAAAGAGTCGCAGCACTCACACAAAAAAATGAAGAAAAAAATATCAATGAAATAAAGAAAAACCAGAAAAATATTCTGTGGGCTGCCACCACCATCTGTTCTAAGTTCACTTTTTTTCAGTATTACTGCCAGACAAGGCTCTAATAAAGACAGCAATGTGTTCAGTAAAACTCCTGCAGGTCCTGGTCTCTTTTCTTCTTACACACACACACACACACGCTACAGCTCCAGCGCGTTTGCACAACCATGCTAATAAACCTTCTAGTTTTAGTCCAGGGCTGCCAGCACGATATCTCCCACCTGTCTTTGAATTTTTGGTTTTAAATGTTTCATTTTTTTCCTTCTGAGACAAAAACAACAGCAGAGGTAAAGTGATTCAGTCATGTTCGTAACGTGTTCATTATACCGAGCCCACCTCCAATCAGACGGCCAGCTGCAAGGCGCCAGGAAGAATCCCCGCCCGTTAGCAACCCGATAGCCTAAGCACAACAAGGGACAAGAGGACAGAGACGGGGCTGTGGACTACAAAAACGTTTTTTTTTTATCTCCCCAGTTCAAAAACTTGATCTTTAATTGATGCTTGCTTGTGGAAGTTGAGGATGCCTCCACTTTCACGAGGTTAAAAACACAAAATCCCACTCAGCGTGGCCATTAAAGCACCGTCCCCATCTGTGTCCATATGCTCCCCAATCGGTCCCCACAGCTCACTCTGGCTCTCCGTGCTTAAAAACCAGCTAAATGCACTCAGAGGAGATGATTTCATGTGCTTTGTTAATTACCATAACCTCTCTCCCTCTCTCTCTCTCCCTCTCTGTCACCCACACACACACACACACACACAAAAAACCTTTTGATGCAATAAAAAAGGGAGATGGGGCAAATTCAAACTCTGGCGGTAAGTGAAGGACTTCTCCGGGCATTGTGAATTTTTCAGAAGCAGCCTGGGGATAAAAACCTGAGAAAAGGTTTATGTGTGAATAACTGAAGAACGGGAATAAAAATGGGTTCAGATTTTTCTTTTTATTGTCAGCAACATGTACACACACCCTCAGGTGGGCTGTAGGAGTCGGCTCAGCTTAAATCACGTTTATCCAGTGGCTGCTTGCATCACACTACTTTACACCCACTATCACAATGGGTACACATTTCCATCTGAATGTGCGTGCTCTAAATGTGATTTAAATACCCCTAACTTTTCCTGCTTGTGCAAACCCAACAGCGAAGTTCTGAACTCTCCGGAGTGTGGCCCTCTCCCGGCTTGTGGCTCGGTGGAACGTGCAGTTTTTCCACCGTGGGTGTTTGGAAATTGAGTGAAAACGATGTCACATTAATGATTTAAAGTCGGTAATAGGATGTGCTGTGATGCTGAGCCGCCAGCTAAACTGAGTTTAAGGCTTTGGCGTTAATGTATTCATGAGGAGGAGGATTATACAGAGACAAGAGCAGCTAGAGAGCTGAGTGCAGCACAGCAGTCAGGGCCAAGAGGCCTGCTAGATATTATATAAAAATATATAAACTACATTTACTGGTTTGGTTGTGCTACGGAATTAAACTCACAGAGGAGCCATGACAGCAGAAGTAGGTGCATTTGCAGTAAAAAATATATAATCTATTATTTCTCGTTGATAAAGCGTTCTTTTAGAAACCGCAAGGAGCTGCATCTGCAGACATAATGCATAATAAATGCTTAATAAATTAAAGTGAAGGTCTGCAGAACAAATATCAAATCAACAATTTCTTTCTTAAATAAAATCACTTTTCCAGATTCTTGATTTTAAACAGACTTTTGGAGAATTCTCCAGCATACAGCCGCCGCAAACAAGAGTTGCGAAAACATTTCAAATAAATTTATTCTAGCCTCAAACCCAGATATTAGTACAAATGTGTGTTTATCTGCGAGCACCGTTTCTCTTTTCTTTCATCTTTTCGATTCTGGCAGCTGCGCTAATCCTCAGTCTAACACACTGATGTATACACAAACTGCAGCATCACTAAAACCGAAAGAGGAAATCACCAGAGTATCAGAAAAAAGATGTGAGCAAGTACCGCAGATTTATTTCTGTTTCGAAAATGTTATCAGTTATTTATTTTGGTTAGGGTTAGCTAAAACCAGCTGCTGTGTGTGTGTGTGTGTGTGTGTGTGTGTGTGTGTGTGTGTGTGTGTGTGTGTGTGTGTGTGTGTGTGTGTGTGTGTGTGTGTGTGTGTGTGTGTGTGTGTGTGTGTGTGTGTGTGTGTGCGTGTGTGTGTGTGTGTGTGTCCATTAATAATAATATGGGGTTTCTGTATTAAGAGTTCATAAAATAATCCTGTATTCAAAGCATAAGATGACGTGCAAAGTCACGTATAGATTTTGTAAACATTTTTAATCGTTCTGACAAATGGCCACAAGTGACTTTATTTACTTTGCATTAAAAGCGAGTTTCAGACTTTGGATGAAAAATTTCCTCTGCTTCTCTCGCAGGAAAGGATCCGAGTCAACATTTCTCCGACGTTGCCGACGAGGCTGTGAGGTTTAAACATCATCTGAAGCTCAGTTTCTGTGATTAAACTCATCAAACAGGAACAAAAGCTACCCGGGTGTTTGAGCGACGGCCTTAATGTGACAGATCTGAGAGCAGTGGCGTGTGAGGGACAGGCATGGTGCTCAGAAGAACAGTGAGGCCTGCAGGCTGATCTCTGATCAGCGGGAGAAAACTGTCTCCTGCCTCTGATTCAGCCGCTCTCCTCCTGTTAGTCTCCATCAAAACATTTAAATCTGCCTATTTTTTCTTTACTTTTCGTTTCATTCCCCTGGCTTCCTGGTAGTTCGACCAATTCATGTTTTCCCACTTTTCAACTGAATGAACTTAGAGATAAACCATGAACTGCTTAAATACTGAAAAAAAGGCTTTTAAATTCTGGTGGCACAAATCAGTTTTGCCTTATTAAAACATGATTACACTTTGGTGTGATATAATCTCAACAGACCAAATTAAAAGAGTGGAAGTGACTTGATTTTGATCGTCAGATGTTAGCGTGTAGGTGGGCCGCGTGACTTCTCACAGTGAACTTGAAAACATGACGGTGTGCACACCGAGCAGCAAATCGCGAGATAAAGAAGCCAGTGGGCGCTTTAACGTCGTTCCATGGAATACAGCAAAAAGTTAAATAAATAGAGAGCTGTTATTTTCTCTCCCCATCAACACCCTAATGCACACATGCAAATATTATGCTAATGGTATGTTAATTGGTGGAGTAGCTGCAAAGCAGCCCTGCTGTTCAAATGACTGGTGAGAAAATAGGTGGGGTCAGTCGCAAGCTGTAAAAGCAGCTCCAACACAAATAAACAAAACCCTCGGGGATTAACGGAACAGGGGCCAGTGATAAACGGATGAGAAGAGAAACGGGGGATACAACAGGGGCCGGGGGAGACACCAGCTAGGGCAGGGCGGGAATGAGGAGAGGATGACGGGTGAGAAGGAGAAGACGAAACTGACAGGAGGAAAAAAAAGGAACGAAGGACAAATAATCAGAAAACAACCAGATTTAAGGTGAAAAAGTTACAAAAACTAATTCAGATTACGAAAACTAATAAAATAGAGGATCAAATGTTGTAAAAATGACCAGATGGAATCTCTGGTTAGGAAAGAATCCAACCTAAACTCTTAACTTGATCACCTGACTAAAGTATTCTGCTCCTGGTTATCCTCGTCCAGCTGACAGGGTTTAATGGACCTTGAAGCGTTACCACGGTTACTTTGTGGTGAAGATGGCCTGTGCGTTTTTCTCTGACATGATGGTAAACTGAGTGTGTGAAAGCAGATGTACATGATGTGTTCAGCCGCTGACACTGGCCCCCACAGGTGGGAACCAGTAAGTGTAAAGCTGTTGACCCCGCAGTAAAACGCTCCATCATTTAACTTATGGCTTCATTATGTAAATGCATCCACTTACACAGCGCTTTACTATCCTGTTAACACACACACGCACGCACACACACACACACACACACACACACACACACACACACACACACACACACACACACGGATGCACAGTATGAATGGGGGTTGCTGTATTGTTTTAGGACACGGCAGGATCAGAAAACTTGTCCACCATCTTTTATTCTAACAGTTTAAAATGTAAGAAACCAAACCTTGAGCATTTTCTACATTTTAGTTTTTTCCAGAATTTTTGCCAACATTCTGGAAAAGAGTTAAATTCTTAAAAAAAATAATACCACAACAAATGGCAACTTTTTGGTGACAATCTGGGTTGCGATCACTTTTTAGGCCATGATCGTCCGATTTCAAATCGGAATCAGACAAGTTAAACTATTCCTGCACGATCCCCTCTGCTTTACTGATGCTTGCTTTCCTGGAATCATATTTCACCACATCTTGACAAACATACCTCATTTCTACTTTTAAAGGAGGATTGATACTTTGATTCTCACATTGTTTGGAGAAATCAGGGGCTACTTCATATTTTTCATTATATTGGATGTTTTGAACAGCAAGTTTAGTTTAATTTTACATAAAAGGACAGGACAGTTAGAAACAATGATGGTGGCTCAGCCAGGAGTTTTCCCTTTAATGGGTGGGTTGCTGGTTTGAATCCCTGCTCTGTCCGTCTCAGGCGTTAAACCCCCGCTCAGTCTGTCGCTGTTGTGTCCTTGGGCAAGACACTTAACCCTTGCCAGCTGGTGGTGGTCGGAGGGACTGGTGACGCCAGTGCTCGGCAGCCTCGCCTCTGTCAGTGCGCCCCAGGGCAGCTGTGACTACATTGTAGTTCATCCCAACCAGTGTGTGAATGGGTGAATGACTGATTGTGTTGTAAAGCGCCTCGGGGGGTTCCAGGACTCTAGAAGGCGCTATATCAAATACAGGCCATTTACCATCCGTTCATGTTCAGCAGCATCTTTTCTGGCAGCTGTATCTCCAATCCAAACCATCAGTGTGTTAATGTGTGATTGATTTTTGTGTGAAGTGCTTTTGGATGTGATAAAGTATACAAGAAAAAGCCAGGCAGTTACCAATAACTAATTGGAGATCCCCATGGCAGATTAATCCACCCTCTACAGATTTGACAGAAAGGGCTCAGCTTCCATAGTCTAGAAATCTAGACCAACCATCTGCAGGTCATTCTAGCCACGCTCCATGGTAGCCTCAGCAAGTCTACTATTGGACC